TATTCAATAGATTTTCAAGATTGTTAATGGTTAGAAGATGTAAATTAGTGTTTTCTTAAATCTTGTGATTCAGCACCTAGTAGTATTAAAACACATTAAGAATGTTAAGAGTACTTTATAGGATGCACTGCTAAGTTAAATGGAGGTTGTATTTAAATTACAACATGTAATTCAATTTAAATTAAAGAAGGATGCATAATAGATTAATTTAAAGTTAATTGTTTATGGGATGAAGGTAAGAATTAATGTATTTATTTGCTGTGTGATACTATTTGTGGAGATGGGATTGTAGGTTATAATGAAGAATGTGATGATGGAAATTTGTTACCTTATGATGGGTGTTATAAATGTAAAATATAATGTTAATATGGTTGTAATATTTGTGCCTAAAAAATTTGTTTGGATTGTGCAATCGGTTATGAATTAAATTTGGATGGCTTATGTTATGAAATTTGTGGTGATGGTTTAATTATTGGAAAAGAAGAATGTGATGATATGAATAAAATCTAAGAAGATGGCTGTTTTTACTGTAAATTTTAGTGCCATCACTAATGTCTCATATGCGCTTAAGGTATATGCTAACTTTGCTAATATGGTTGGGAATAATACAATAATTAATGCAGATCTGTTTGTGGAAATGGTCAGTTAGTTGAGGAATATGAATAATGTGATGATGGCAATATTGATAATTTTGATGGTTGTGATTTAAATTGTAAAGTTGAAAAAGATTGGATCTGTAATTAATCATTAATTACAGGATTGAGTGAATGTATAAATTAAGAAGCTCCAAAAATTTAATTAGTTAACCTATCTTAAAAAAAAAATAGTGAACAAATTATAATGATTTCATTTAATTAATAAATAAAGTTGAAACAACTTTGTAGTTTAGAAGATTATATTAAAATTAATGTAACAAAGGATGTAAACTTTGATTACACTATAGTTCCTATTAATTAGGCAACTTAAAAATTAGGAAATGTTGAATATTAAATTTCAATAAAGTTATAAGAATCAGTTTAAGAACCTTTTGCAACTGTGTCATTTGTAGAATCAATTTTTGTTAATAATCTCGATCAAGAGTTAACATTGTTATCTTAATCTATAAGTCTAGGTACTCCTTTAATTTTATCCCTTGAAGCAAAGAAAAGATTAGATAGTACAATATAATTCAATGAAATCATGATTTATGTATTTATAGCATCTTCCACTCTATCTGTATTAACAGGCAATTTTGATTTATTTTTCAATATGCTTGCACTTTTATAACAATTATCCTATGTACGGTATTTAGCTGTACCATATCCAAGTCATTTAGAATAGTATTTAAAAATTTTTAAAATTATATCATTCTAACCTTTGTTTGATAAATTACAGATTGACTATTATTTTTAAAAATTAAATTTTGGTAAAACACCATTTATTTAATCAAATAATCCAAAAAAAGAAGATCCTGAATTTAACAACGCATTTTTTCTTGTAAATGCTAAAAGCTTTTATTTAACTATGTTTACTTCATTTGTAATTTATGCAATCTCCAAAATAATCAGAAAGTTAAGTTGCAGCATATATAAGTATTTGTAATAATTCAAAAACTTTAAGAAACTAAAAATAATTTATATGATCTTCAATAATATAAAAAAGTTTTCTGAAAAAACAGCAAATTACTTTATTTATTCTGGAATGATTAAAGTTTTTATATCTACATAATATTAGTTAATGTACAGTGCTTATAGTTAATGTCCAGAATATCATTTTAATATGGAATTTGAAAATATTTTTGTTACTTTTAACTCTTTCAATGCATTATTTGCTATTTCAATACCTCATTTATTTCTCTTCTATTCTATAGTTGTTCTATAAAAATAATACAAAATAACTACTAAAAATCGATTTTCAATATTTTATGAAAATGTAAAATAAACATATTGGTCCAGATTCTTCATTCCCTTTTCAATGGTAAAAGTTGCTGTTTATATGGGAATTGTTTGCTTTTTGTACAATTCCCCTATCATTTAAGTTATATCATTAACTATATTATCTAATGTTTACTTCTATTATCTTTTGGTTGTTCAACCATGTACTTAAAAATTAGAACTTATCAAACTCATTATAAGAGAAATTACATTTTTAATAATTGTTTCATCACTTTTTCCGTATACATTAGCTGTCGATGATAAAATCATTAGTTTATTGGGATGGATTCATATTGGTTTTTTTTCACTAATTATTGCATCAAACATTATAATAGATTTTATTAATTAATTATAACAATTATTTAATAAATATTAGAAAAATAAATTAAAAAAATTAAAAAAGAAATAGCAATAAGAGTACAATTATAACAGCTTTATGATCATTTCAGATGCTAATTTATAAAATCAAAGACTAGCATCTAAAAAATGAAATCTAAATATTGTTTTATTTAAATTCATATTATGATATAAATTTTTAAATTAATCTATTTTATAGTTAAAAATAAAAATTCCAATTTCACAAAACATTTAATTTAAATTAGATACCCATTTTCTTATAATTTGATTGATACAACATTTTAAATGAGGTCGCTAAATAAAGTTTTAAATAATATTAACTTTCTCTTGTTCATGTATGCAGTCTTTATATTAATTTGATTTAGCTGAATTATATTAATAGTGCAGAAAGCATAGTTAATTATAGAATGTTGATGGAATTTTTGAAATTCAATTTCATAATAATAGAAATTGAATAGATTATATAATAAATCAAGAGCGTATTCCAAAATGAATACGAACAATGAACATTTGATAATTTGAGGATTTCAATTGTATTAATGTTTTGGAATAAACGACTAAATTATGCAATTTTTAAATTTTGGAATATGATATGAATGAGTTGCGACCAAAAAATTCCTGTGTCAGTAAAACAACAGAATAAACCAGTACTATTTTCAAAAACAATTGAAAGTTGTATAATTAGAATTTCTTAATATATAATTTAGGGTAGACATATTATGTACTCAAATAGGAACCTTAATATTTGAATAATATTTTTTACAAAGAAAAATTATTTTTGGTCTGTTTTTTGAATAAGCATATTTATTATCTATTATTATTTTCTTTAGACATACTCACCAATTGTATTTAAGTAGAACAACTTTACATAAAAAAATCAAAAAAATAAATCAATAAGTGATACTTGTATTTATGATAATATTAATTAATATAAAAACCCTTAAAAAAATGATGATTGAATATAAAAAGAAGATATTAAAAAAATGTTAAGAATATCTTTTCTCCCATTATAAATTAACTCAAATACAATTTTTAACAGTTATTTGAGTGGGATCTTATTTGCAATGAATCTTGTCAAGATTAAGGAGAGTTTCAAAAGTGGTAGGTGAGGTTGTTTAGAATTCATTTAACAATTTAAGCTATGGAGTTTGAAGAGGCCCTTAAAATTTGTTAATCAGAAATCGAAATCCAAAATTCTATGTATGAAGCCAAAATAACAAATTAATCAAATAGCAAAAACTTTTACTACAACTTACTCCAAACAGAATTCCATTTCTCAATCATATTAAAATAATGTTACAAAGAATGAATGCCCATACTAAGATTAAAATATTTGCAATAGGAAGTGAAAAAAAAATTAAATTTTACCTTGTGTTCATCACTTTGAATTCTTAATAGATCATTCTAATTGAACCTCAAATTATATTAATTAAGAAAATAGACAAAACTTATATATAATAAAAAGTATCTATAACATTTCGAAAAATAGTTAAATAACTTGAATATTCCTATAAAAAAAACATCAAAAATATGTTTGTAAGCCTAAACTCAAGAAAATAAAGAAAAAAGTGTATAATACACCTACTCCTTAAAATATTCAAAACCCTCACTTCAGTTTTTGTTGTATATAAAAAATAGTTAACACCCATACTACATTTATGAAAGTGGAATAGAGAATGACTCTCCTTAAAAAATATGGAGAATAATACGGCAAAAGCTTGGTAAAAACTTTATTTCAATCACAAAAAGAATAGATATTATTGGTGGAATTTGATAAGGATTGTTTCTATTTAAGTCTGAAAAACAAAAAATGATAATAACTTATAATATTCTTTGAGAAATACTAATTGATCTAAGCTAACCATTAACAGTTTATGAATTATCTTAATTATGTATATAATTCGGTTAATTGTGGCTTGAAAGTCAAAATATGGTGTTTAGTTTGAAGAAGTAAAATAAATAAAGGGGATAAGTTGTTCTGTTAAATTTAAATATTTTACATAGAATTATAGAATTATGATAATTTATTATTGCCGGTTAAATTTATTTATTTTTTATTGAAGTAAATGAAATTTTATGACAATTGATTATATATATAAAATTATAAAAAATTAGTAAACTTACATAAGGAAAAATTTAAGAAATGTTTTATAAAAAGGGATATGTCTTGATGATTCATTGTTGACAAAATTAGCTGCAAAATTTAGATAGCCGTACAATAAATACCAATTCTTCTGATATAATAAAACAATTTTTTCTAATGATTCAAAAATATTACGTTTATATTTGACAGGAAGTGTTACTTATTTTAAAATGTAAAATAAAAAAATGATAGAATAGCTTTTTCATTTCAAATTCCAATAATAAAAATACTTCTAAGTTATTTAATAGTAGATTTATTTTAAATGGTCTTGGAATACTTAAATAATATCACATTTATTAATAGATAACTAATCCATTAGGATAGCTAAAATTATGCCAAATATCCGAAATTTTATTTTTTGTGATTACAACCAAAGAAGATTTGAAATACATACTTAATATATTCCAATTAGGATGGGCAAAAATAATTGCTCCTTTTTATAAAACTTTTCTTTTTGAGAGAACTATCTGATATCTGAGATGTCCATTATTAATCAAAAATTGAATTCTAGTAATTTAATAAATTGAATATATTTTAAAAGCTTATTGCAATATTTTCTAGACCTATTATTAAATTTATTAATAATTATGTTATAACAGCACCCATATTTAAATTAGCCAGAAAATGTTGCCAATAAATACAATAAGCCCATCAATTTGAGCCAACAACTTAGTTTTTCTAAAAGTTTACCTGGTCAAGGAGTGTTACCAGAATAAAATTATGCAACTCCTTAATGGCAGAAATAAATGAACCCATAATTATCAAATCAACAGCCATAAATTTAAACTATCCAATCCAAATATATTCCCCAACCGTAGACCATTATTTATCAAGGTTAACCAACTTATGTTTAATAACCTCAATAATAATTTGTACCCATAGCTTATCCTCAATAATAATAATTCAGATAAAGTTCCCCTCCAAGAATAATCAAGATGAATTAATAGCCATAATAAGCATAACCAATCTACCAATAACCAGAAGTAAGAATTCCAGAATATTATCCGCATCCTCCTATTTACTATGATGACCCACCTTTCTATGAAGAACCTATTTATTACCCTCCTCCACAAAAATCAATTAAACTACCTCCTCCTCACATTGATAATTATTTTATTCCTAACTAAGTTAGTTACATAAGGAATCTTGATGATGGACCAAACTATCCAGAATACCCTTTTAAGGTAATGGATATTCNTATAAATATATAAAATTATAAAAAATTAGTAAACTTACATAAGGAAAAATTTAAGAAATGTTTTATAAAAAGGGATATGTCTTGATGATTCATTGTTGACAAAATTAGCTGCAAAATTTAGATAGCCGTACAATAAATACCAATTCTTCTGATATAATAAAACAATTTTTTCTAATGATTCAAAAATATTACGTTTATATTTGACAGGAAGTGTTACTTATTTTAAAATGTAAAATAAAAAAATGATAGAATAGCTTTTTCATTTCAAATTCCAATAATAAAAATACTTCTAAGTTATTTAATAGTAGATTTATTTTAAATGGTCTTGGAATACTTAAATAATATCACATTTATTAATAGATAACTAATCCATTAGGATAGCTAAAATTATGCCAAATATCCGAAATTTTATTTTTTGTGATTACAACCAAAGAAGATTTGAAATACATACTTAATATATTCCAATTAGGATGGGCAAAAATAATTGCTCCTTTTTATAAAACTTTTCTTTTTGAGAGAACTATCTGATATCTGAGATGTCCATTATTAATCAAAAATTGAATTCTAGTAATTTAATAAATTGAATATATTTTAAAAGCTTATTGCAATATTTTCTAGACCTATTATTAAATTTATTAATAATTATGTTATAACAGCACCCATATTTAAATTAGCCAGAAAATGTTGCCAATAAATACAATAAGCCCATCAATTTGAGCCAACAACTTAGTTTTTCTAAAAGTTTACCTGGTCAAGGAGTGTTACCAGAATAAAATTATGCAACTCCTTAATGGCAGAAATAAATGAACCCATAATTATCAAATCAACAGCCATAAATTTAAACTATCCAATCCAAATATATTCCCCAACCGTAGACCATTATTTATCAAGGTTAACCAACTTATGTTTAATAACCTCAATAATAATTTGTACCCATAGCTTATCCTCAATAATAATAATTCAGATAAAGTTCCCCTCCAAGAATAATCAAGATGAATTAATAGCCATAATAAGCATAACCAATCTACCAATAACCAGAAGTAAGAATTCCAGAATATTATCCGCATCCTCCTATTTACTATGATGACCCACCTTTCTATGAAGAACCTATTTATTACCCTCCTCCACAAAAATCAATTAAACTACCTCCTCCTCACATTGATAATTATTTTATTCCTAACTAAGTTAGTTACATAAGGAATCTTGATGATGGACCAAACTATCCAGAATACCCTTTTAAGGTAATGGATATTCGAGATTATTTTAATAAAGCTCTAATAGATATGGCTACTTAAGAAGAGAAGATTGAAAGAGCTAAAGTATAGGTTTGCTCTCAATTAGATTTTCGAATTAATGGTTTGTTTAATCAGTTAGATTAAAATTAGACTGGATAACTATCTTAAGAGGAATTTGCAGTTGGATTGAAAGCATTTTCATTGTAACCTGAGTAGTGTGATATCAAATTATTATTTGAAGAATTTGGATATTAAGGAATGATGGATATCCAATAATTTGCGAATATGATAAAACCATAAACTGATCTTAAAAATACAAAAGCATATTAATAAGATGATGTGAAGGTACTTCCAGAAACTAAACTTCTAATTAGAAATTTATTTGTTACTTTGTTAAATGCAGAGAGTGTTTTTGAAAGTCTTAGGTAATACTTAATATCTAAAGAAGAAGAATTGGGATAAAAAATTGAATACGATTAGATATTTGAAGAAATATTTTCAAATGATCATCCTAATAATTTAAGATTTTATCTATAGAATCAAGGATAATATTTTGATATCGCTGTTATTAATAGCCTCTTTAATAGATTTGATAGAGAATGTACGAAAAGAATCACAAGAGAATAATTTTTTTATGCATTTTTGCCAAAGTTAAATAAAGATGATAATTATTTGTGATGAATTATAATTATTATATCAGATAAACATATATTATGTAATTTTTAGAATGCATGCATTCTTTATGCAAATTTAATTAAATAATTCTAAGCCTTTATAAACAAATTAAATTTGAAAATAATTTATTAATAATAAATACATTCTGCTTAACTTTAAATTTTTAAAGAATATAATCAAAGAGAATGAGTCTTTATGAATTTATATATTTAATGTTTAGTAAAGAAAACATTCTAATTTTAAACTTGATATAAATTAAAATTTATTTATTTATATAATGAGACAAAAATCTCAAACTCTTCATGAGGGCGGAGAAAGAAAGTTATAAGCAGTCGATTATGATAAGTGTATTTATAATTGTCTTTTGACGAAAAAGAAATTTATTGGAAGGGGCCTCAGATACCTTTATTTGTTTAAGAATTTAATTTGTATAGGAAAGGTATCCGTCTATCTTTAGATTTTGAGTCACCTAAAATTCAGATTCCTGAACGCCAATTTCGAATCAATTCAGAATTAAGAATTCAATGGACTTATACAAAAAATAAATTAAAATCAGTAATCTTTTAAGTAAGCGGCTAACAATTTGAATATCATGGAACAAATGATTAATTAAGAGAACTTAAATAGAAATGTGCATTATACGTTTTCCAAATCAAGATTTAAGATGAATATTAAGCTGAATCAGTTTTAGGAAAAGGGTCTTATGCAACAGTTCTAGAATTAACTAATTTATATACAAATAAACAATATGCTGCTAAATGTATTGATTAACAACGTATCAATGAAAAGAAGAATGGTTACAAATAATTGTAATAAGAAATAGAGACTATGAGAATACTATCAGAAAGAAAACATGATAATATTTTACAATTACACGAACTCTATATAGGAAATTAAAATTATTATTTAGTAATGGAAATGGCTAAAGGTGGCTCTTTATTATCTCTTATGAAAAAACGATAAACTCTTTTCAGTAGATAAGACATTAAGTTGATAATGAAATAGTTACTTGAAGGATTGGAATTCATTCATAATCATAATATTATGCATAGAGACTTAAAACCAGAAAACATATTGTTTATGAATAAAGATTTAGAATCATTAGTAATTGCTGATTTTGGTCTAGCATAATCAGTAGATACTCATCCTTATACATATCCTAAATGTGGTACCCCAGGTTTTGTAGCTCCAGAAATTCTTGAACAAGATACTGAATTGGCAAGATATACTGTATCTTGTGATATTTTTAGTGCAGGAGTTATTTTATATGTTTTGTAAAAGCATTTAAATTTATTTAAGATTAATTGGAGAACCTTTGTTTGAAAAAAAGGATAGGAAAGAACAATTAGAATTAAATAGAAAATGTGAAATAAACTTAAGTAAATTTCCATCTGATTAATTGGATGATCTTGAAAAGGATTTATTAATGAAGATGCTATCTAAAAATCCAGAATTTAGATGGTCAGCTAATAATCTATTAAAACACAAATTTTTTGTATCTGAAGATTCGATTGAAAGTGAAGTAGATTTCTACAAATTAAATAATATTGCAATGTATGAAATTGATAAAATATTAGACTTAAGAAACAGGCAATGCCAACTTTCTCTAAAAACCCCTTTATTTAATTTGGTAAAAATATTAGTCTAGTGAGAGATAAAACTTAAACCATTTCTTTAAGATAAAGAAATTGTACTTTAATAATGTAAACTAATTTAAGATTTGATAAATCTTCACAAGAATAATTAATTACTGAATAAGTAAATGGAATGGGATCTTTTAATTTATACAAAGATGAAATAAATTAAACTAATCCTTGAAAATTAAGACATTCACATTTTATTTACTCTTAATTTAGACTTTATATATCAAAATTTTTTTTTTTTTCTTTGAGAATGTTATTATTTGTAATTTTAAGAATTCCTTTAGATAATTTCTTCTACATGAATAATTTATTAATTATATTAATAAGTTTTTTTCTTTATCATTAGCTAAAAGACATTCTTTAATATTCATTTATAAATTTAATTTATGAAAAAATTATTCAAATATTGTGATTAATGTTCAAAAAAACCAGGAACAGTTTTCTGTTCTAATTGCTAAGCTAGATTTTGTTATGGTTGTGATGGAGAAGTTCATAATTAGAATTAAAATCACAAAACAGAAATTTGCTCATTAATATGTATTATGTTTTATATTAAGAAATGAGATAAAATAACTTATATTCGTAATTTTAAGCAGGGGATTCCTAGATATTATTTTAAACACAATAAAATTAATTAGGAATAGAATAGTAGGAAAGATAATAATAATAATAAGAAGAATTAATAAAATTAGACTAAGAGATAAAATAAATTGAATAAGTTTTGAGCTCTCAAGAGAACAAATGGAGGAAATAGATTGAAATTTTGGAAAAAGACTATGAAGAAAAGATTGCTAAATTTGAGGATAAGGTCAAGAAAAGTGAGAGCACAATTACAGAGATTAAATAATAATCTAAGTAAGAAGATCAGATTAGTGAAATGATGAAATAATTAAAAGAATAATTAGAGGGATAAAAGATGTATAATTAATATCTACAATCTATAGTTCATTAATATAAAAAGTTGATTAATAGAAAGTTTAATTGAATGATAAAGAATAATTATTACAGAATTTGATAAAGTAAGAGAAAGATTTTTCTGCAGAGATTAATAAAAAAGAAATTTTGATAGGGAAATTTAAAGAGTTGATATAATAGTAATAGAAAGAGAAAGAGTTGATATTGCATGAAAATGATAAAATAAAGAAGTAATTGGCAGAAATCAAGTAATTATTTAAAGAGAAACTGCCTTAATTGGGATTGGATGAAAATTTCTTCAATTTTGATGAGGAAGAATAAGATGGAGAAGAAGAAGAATAAGAACCTTAAATATAATAAAATGTAGAGGACTCAACAGAAGAAGACGAAGGAGTGTAATGAGTAAAATCTAATAAGTTTAACTATGAGGCATTCATTGTTATTTTTGATTCTAACCATTTTATTAGAGATATTATTCTATTTCTTCTGCTTCTAACCATCTTTTTTTAATTCCATCCTTCCACTCTCCATATTTCTTTTCTCCATTTGACATATAATAAACACCAATTCCTTATTATTTACCTATAAATTAAAGATATTTAAATACCATTAACCCAGATTCCTTCATATTTCCTACCGTCTCCCCATTCAAATGAGCCTCTGCCATGTTTCTTATCTTCAAAGTATTCCTAAAGAATAAGTAACAATGGATACTCCTATATATTTTCTGCCATCTGGCCAAGTTACTTATCCATGACCATGCATTTTATTTCTTTTCCATTATCCAGTATATATTCTTTAATCTGGCCATTAATAAGTTCCATATCCATCTATTTCATTATCAACAAAAGTGCCTTCATATCTAGAACCATCAGCAAATAGTAGAATTCCTTTTCCATTTTTTTTACCTGTTTTATATTCTCCTTCATATTTAGCTCCGTCAGGCCAAACTTCAATTCCTATACCATCTTATCTGTCATCAACCCACTTAATTATAGATTTATTATTTACATCTCCCTCGTATCTAGCCCCATTAATGTGAACATATACTCCTTTTCCATTTGCTTTATCATTTTGCCATTCTCCCTCATATACATCTCCATCTGCGTGAATCAATTTACCCCAACCACAACTTTTATCATCCTTCCATTATCCTTCGTAACATGAACCATCTGGCCACTATTATTTACCATTCCCATCTCTCTTTCCTAATAACCATTCCCCTTCATAAATTGCTCCTTTATCTAATTGAATTGGTCCAAATTTTTGCCTTTCAGTGCAATTCAAATAGGCTATACTTACTTCTTTTACAGATTAGGGTTCTAAATTTTTTTTCATTGACATGCTTTCATTATCAACTTAAAACTTTTCTCTTTCCTTATTGTTTTATCTTGGAGTTTCAGAAACCTATTATTATTATTATTAAAGAGATGACACGCTATTTTCTTTGTCATCATAGTCGTTTTGATCGGGATCTTCTAAATCTACCTCATTCTTTTTAGAATCTTTGGATACAATCTCACCATTTTTATTAGCGCAACAATTCACCTAGCAGCTTCCCATTTCAGTTAATTATTTATATATGTGATTTATAATATCAAAATTCTGCTTTCTCAATATCAGGAGGAGGAGGCCCACATGGTTAAATCATTTTAGTCAAAAATTTATAGCGTAATCGACACATTGGTTCATTTTCAGCTGTACAGAAATAAACCTCAACATTAAATAGATGTATACCATTCTACTATGATGACCTATATGTGATGCCAATGTATCTCTATGTATATGATTATTCCAAACATATTTTGGAGTATCGGGATTTCCTGTACCAACATAACGAGCATGTAAATGTTCTGTTTAAGTTTAAAAATTGAATCTGTCTTGCATTTAATATTTAGAAATATATATAATTATTATTTAATTTTAATTATTGTATAATCAAGATAATCCTATCTCTAACTAATTATAAAAGATCATATAGACACAAAGACAGATTACTTATATGTTTAATTTCATTTAAAAGATAGATAAAATGGCCATCTAAAGAATTAAAAAAAAGTAAAGATAAAATTAATATTTTTATTGGTTTTGAGAGTATTTGTTAATACTCCCTTTGATTATATATATATTAATAATTTATTATAATATTCTATGGTTTTCATTTCCATGCATTTCTTATAAACTTCTCAAAAACTTAATCATTGTCAATGAGTGAACTAATATCTGTAATATATTCTAGGAAATGTTATTGGGTAATATGTTAAACATCTTTCCAAATATCATGAAAATCTTTATTGGCATCAGCAACTGTTTTAATATTTGTATTTACATCATGACTCTTTGATGCATCATAGGATTCTTTAATTAAATGAAATATTACATTTAAATTATTAAGAACTGATTTATGATTCTCCATTTGACAATCTATTCCATAATTAATTTACTAAATCCATTCTATATTAAGAAAGTGGTTCTATAATAATAAAGTATAAGTACTTCTTAAAAAAGCAATAAATTCAACAAAGGAAACTTCATCATCACAATTTTTATCAAAATATCTGAACAAATTATCATATTCTGTTTTTGTTAATAAAAATCCTGATTCTTTCATTGCCCATTGAAATTCTTATCTATTCAATGTTCCATTCTTATTTTTATCAGAATTAGTAAAAATAGTTGCCATTCTGATTACAGAATGCTGACCCTTTTTAATTAAATCATTTCTAATTCTATTCAATGTATCTTAAGGAGGAGCTCTGGCAATTTGAAATACTGGATTGACATTTGCATTGTTTCCTGATCCCATTAATGCTATCAATCCACATATTTCATCATAACATAATCTTCCACTTTTATCAGAGTCATATTTATTAAATAGTGCTTAAATCTCTTTTTCACTAAACACACAACCAAACTTTTATAATGCTTATGCAAATTAATAAATATCTATAGTTCCTTTGTTTTCCAAATCAAAATACATAAATGCCTTTTTGGCTGTCTTTCCTTCATCATCCTTTGTTACTGTTTTTTATCTGATTTTTTCAAATAATATAATTTCCAATTAAGCCAATCTTTCTGGAGAAACATAATCAGCACCAGATGTCACTCCCCAAGTAGATGTTAATAACTATAAAATATTATCCAATTATATAGATACATCTGTGAAATATTCCTCCTTTTCACTAGGAAGTGTTGCATTACAATCAGCATAATAATTTAAGAATTCATCTTCATTAATACTTTGACTATCCTTGCTACGTTTAGATATTGCATTCATAAATTCCTTTGTGACTTATTCAGCTGTCTTTTATCTTGTTCTTACTCTAGGATGATTTTTAGCCTAATAAAGTCTATAAAGACTTTCCAATTACAATCTCCCTTATCTTGATTAATCCAAAAATGAAAATGTATTTCTCACTACATTTATTCTCTTTTCACTCATATTCTCTCTAATTAAATTAACAAACTCTGCGTATGCTATATTGCCATCTTTATTTTAGTCATATCTATCATATACTGCTCTCAATTCTTAAGTTGTTAAAAATACACCTATTTTTGATAAGAACTTCTAGAATTCATCCTTATCCAAATATCCTATAATCACTATATAAAATACCAGAGTTATCTCTATCAAATTCTGCCATTAATTAATACACTCCTTCTAAGTCATCTATTTTGCGAGCATGTAATTAACCTCTAATCTTATTTTAAATTAAGTCTAATTTGTTTCTCCAATCCATCAGTTATATTTTTATTATATATATATATATTGAGTAAATATCTGATTGTTTAAGCAAAATAATATATATATTTATTTAATACTATTATGCAATATAGAGTTATTTTCTAGATAATTCTAGCAGTATTAATAGTAAAATATTTGCTTATTCTATAGAATTAATAACAAATTACATATATATGTATATTATTTTGTTTTATAGAACAAGATATTGAATTGTTAAATTTACAGATGAAAAAATTACAGTAAATATTTACTATTTACATATAATATTATCATGTTAAACAATAAATAATTGATAATCTATAAATTAATTGAAACTTGAACTTTTCTAAATTTAGAAAATTTCCAATTTAATTATTAAATTATCAATTAATTTGTTATTACCATTTATTATTTTCGAAGAAGGTTGCATTTTAATGAATTGCGATTGATATAGATTTATTTATAGATATGTAAAATAATATATCAATAAATACTTCGATATCAAAGGTTGAAATCATATTAAAAAAGAAGTCTAACCAAGTTTTAATAAATAAAGTAATAAGAAAAAAATAAATTTTGATTTAATGAAACTTCGATGAATTTGAATATTTATAATTTTCTCATATTGAATTGAAATTATATCATACAAAGACAGGATTTTTAAAAGAGCTTTAATTTTTACTTGAATTTACAATTGCAAATTCTCAAATCATTATTTCTATATTAATTATTATTAAAAGCTCATGAAATTATTTAAACAATGTTATAAAGAGTTCTTTCTTTAAGTTTAAATACAAGAACTCTTTAAATATGAGGAATCTTTAAATAGTTTTACTCTTTAATTTTAATCAGAAGAATTAGAATAGTCATATTAAAACAGGTAGATGGCAAAAGTAATTGTGTAATTCAGGATATCCATAATATTATAGATCTTAATAAATATAGGGTTTATGATCAACTCCACAGTTGTTTATAATTCATCAGATATTGTGAAATTTAGATCAATTTTTATTGGATGGATGCTCATATGCTTATTTTTATAGAAACTTTCTAAGAAATATTGGAATGTCACTACTAATATACTGATTTTCATTAATGGTATAATAAGTGTCTTGTTGTTTGCCTTCTTTACTAAATTTGTGAATACAACCCAAACTAATATAAATGATGTTATGAGTCTTTCTTTGATATCTGGTTTGTAATAAGGATTATTTGCTATGAGCTTTTTTTTAATTTAATCAAACTACATTATGCAGAGTTTAACTATGATTAGTTTCTTCCTTATTTTAATGGGAATTTTTACTCAATTTTTGAATTATAGATTATGGACATAATATCTGCTTCTTATTTTTACATGTTATTTATTAAGGTAGAATGAGAAAACAAATAGATTGAATTTTTTATTAATCCATAAGTCTCATTAGAATTTAGAAGCATGTAAGAAACTTTATGATGAAACTGTACCAACTTCAATAATAATTTTGGAAGAGAATGTACAATAAGAAGGAGTATATAAAAATGAATTATTAAATTCAGTATTTACATAAAAAGAAAAATTATATACATTGGATAGCAGACTTATGAATGTAGCTTATTTTAATAAAAGTGCATCTATTCATTTTGAAACAGCTTAGGAAGATATTTTAACAGAAAAGTTGGCTGAAATAGAAATTTTGAATTCTGAAAATTCAGTATTAAATTCTGAAAAGAATAAACTTCTAGATAAAATTTCAGGTTTATAATCTACATTATAGACTGAAATGCGTTTTAATACAATAAACTCTTTTGATTATTAAATTATGTAAATAAATAGAAAAATGCAATGTTAGAGAGTATAAATTAATTTAATTTAGGTTGTTAAATAATCTAAAGTACAATATTATGATGCTTAAGCTTAAGGTTGTTTATGGGATGGTAAATAATGTATAATGTTAATATTAAATGATACTACTGATAGAGTCTTAAGGATTAAACATCTCTAAGATTTAGATAATTATAAAGATAATTTATTGGCTGCTGTTTCTCATGATCTTAAAACACCATTAAATGGTCAATGTATTCTTGCTAATTTGATTAAAACAATGATGGAAAATAAGCAATCTATGGTTAGAAGTGATATTCAAGGTATTATTAAAATTAATTAATATTTTAGAAATTGTTGTTCATATAGATGACATGATTTCAAATTAATAAATTTTATTAACAATGATAAATGATTTAATTGATTATTCATAATTAAAAAAATAAGGATTAAGATTAAATTACACTTAATTTAATCTATCTGCATGTGTACAATAAATTAAGAATATATTTAAAAGGTAAATGGATTTAAAAAAATTATAATTTAATATTTTGGGATTAGATGAAAAAATTATAATGTATTCAGATCAAATTAGATTATAATAGATATTATTTAATTTGATATCTAATGCAATTAAATTTACTTTTAATGGATAAATTACATTAACAATTAATAAAATAAATTCTGGTAAACAATAATTAATTAATTTCTCTGTTTAAGATACTGGTATAGGTATACCTTAACATATTCAGACTAAATTATTCAAAGCCTATTCAACCTTTAATTTAGGAAATTAAAATTCATAAGGAGTAGGATTAGGATTAGTAATCTCTAGAAATCTAGTTGGACTATTAGGTCCAAGTGAATATATAGAAATGAATTCAATTGAAAATAAAGGATCAAATTTTAGTTTCTCGATATATCTGAATGCGTAGCATAAAGAATGCAACATATTGAATAATTTATAGGTAGAAAATGGAACTCCTGATAGTGATCCATCTCCTATTCATAGAATGCCTAATCCTGTAATCAAAAGATAAAATAGAAAATATTAAACAGTTATTGATATGTCTACAAGTTTATATTAAAGATTAAAAATACTTATTGTAGATGATACAATCTTTAATATTTTTGTCTTAAAATAATTATTGAAATAGATTATTGTTTAATGTGATATTCATGAAGCTCATAATGGTAATGAAGCATTAGAGAAAGTCAAAGAAACTAGATTTGATATTATATTTATGGATATCAATATGCCAATTTTAAATGGTATCTAGACAACCTAATAGATTAGATTGTATGAAAAAAATAATTAGTTTTAAAAGTCAACAATCTGTATGCTTTCTGCTTTCTAAGGAGAAAGAGATCTTTAAGAGTCTTTGGAAATAGGAGCAGATCTCTTTTTAACAAAACCCTTATAAATTCCAGCTTTAAAAGCAATACTAGAATAACTAAAATATATTTGAAATTGATTCTTTGATATTGTTATTAATACTTCCATATATGGAAATTATATTATTTATTATTATCATAAATAAATTATAATATATAAGATGCTAAAAAAACTCAAACCTATCCTCTTTTCTGTATCAACCTTAGGTGTAGGTTATTTTTTTGTTTAAAGAGAACTCAATATTAATTTGGGAATATTTGATACATTTTATTATCAACTTTATAAATACTCTCCTCATTATGCTGTTCAATTTATGAAGATTATGTGTTATTAAAATTTATTATGGAAATAAGATATTCCTATAAAAGAATAGAATATTAATAACTAAATAAAATTAAAGAATTAACTTGGATTAGCTAGTGGATTTGATAATGATGGTTCATTTATCGAAACCTTATAAAATTTAGGATTTGGTTTTATTGAAATAGGTTCAATAGCAGCTTAAAAAAATATAAGGTTTAGTGAAGATTTGAATACTTATACATTAAAAGTAAATTAAATCAAATATTACAGAATAATAGCATTGAGTATTAAAGTGAAATTCCATAAATGGGTATATTACAAAGTAAAGCCATATTGACTTCACTTAGAAGAAATTATGCAATAAAAATACCTATTGGAGTTAATATTATGCCGTCAGAAGAAATTTATAAATATACACCATATTTGATTGAAAATGATATTTCTAATGTTACAAGGTATAATATTTTTAAAAAATTAGAGAATTATGTTCTGTAGCTGATTTTATTGTACTTAATCTTGTAAGTAGTCAAAGAACTAATAAATTATATAGTGAAATTGTTATCAATAATACAGATTTAATTAAAAAGATGATTTAAACTATTTAAATCACTTAAATTGAAGAAATAGGATTATAAGCTGCTTTAGATCATGAAACTAAAAATGAATTGAAAGGAGAGAATTTAATTAGTGAATACTTAAGCACTACTTAACTTGGATTAAAATAGTAATATTTATTTATTATATAAGAAATTTAGTTGCTCCATTATATATTAAAATATAATCAAATCTATAAAAAAACATTCTTGATTTATTAATGAAAGAAGCTAATGGAAATTAAATTTAAGGAATTATTCTTTAAAAAGATATAAATTAAAATGATTTAGAATATAATTAAACACTTAAATAAATTAGATAATAAATTCCTAAATCATGCACTTTAATTAGTGTTGGAGGAATTAAAACTAAAGAATAATATTAGGAAAGATTAAATAATGGAGCTGATGCTTGTTAAATATTTTCATCTTTTCTTGCATAAGTAATATTAAATATGATAATTTATAGGGACCTCAAGTAATCAAAGATATTTTGTTGTGAATATTATAATAATAATCAAAAAGTTTAATTATAAAATAATTAATTCAAAATTTATCAAGCCACCCTTTTATTCCTTTATTTTTATTTTTTTTATCTTTTTTCTCACCTGACTTAAAAAATAATTCTTAACAAATATTTTATTTATCTGCCATTTCTATCATACTCAAAATAACACTTAAAATAGATTCAGCAATTTCAGGAGTTCTAAATTTCATATTATATAATTTTACTTATTTAAAATAGCAGAGAAAAATTATTAACATAATCCTTTTAATTATTCATATTGATTTTTTAATGTGATTAAATCTTAAGATATGTCATTCTTTTATTCAAAGATTTATGGTTATTCTTCCAATTTTCTCATTTATTCAGATTGTAATTTTTATGATAATTCTACAATTTTAATCTAATTTTGTAACTATATTGATAATTCTTTATTTTAGCTATAAATTATTGGAATATATTATTACTTTTCTAATTCTTTAAGTGTAGATTTTAATTAATAAATCTATTATTCCATCTTTAATTTCTCTTATTCAAACTTATCAATCAGATTTTTACATGTTCTATTTAATAAATTATATTTATTTACTTATTTTCTTCTTCCAAATTGTTAATTTTATTCAATAAATCATAATTTTAATTATCTAAATATTTTATATGTTCTTGCTAATCATTCTCAAAATCATTCTTAGCTTATTATTCTAATTTTATATCTTCAGCTAAATCATCTTCTACTTAGTTTTCTTCATTTTAATTTTCATCAAATAAAAATTAATTCTTAGTTTTATTATTAGGAAATGTCTAATCTTTTTCATTTAATTAATTTTATAAATCTTAGATTAACTTTTCTCTCTCAAGTATTATCTTAGAATATTTATTAGGATCAGATTCTGTGTTTTAAATAGGACTTGGAGTACTACCTCTATTAATAAAATCTTAAAGTGATCTTGAATATAAATTTAATATTATTACTTATTTTAATCTTTTAATTATATTATTTCTTCTTGTAATTAATTTAATTTTACATTTAATTCTTATTCTTTCAATTAAAATATATGTTATTATTATAAAATCTTTTATTCTAACATAGAATCATTATCAGATAAATTTTATTCATCATCTCCAAGATCTAAAAATTAATCAAATTAACATTAATTTTAACTTCTTCTTGATCTATTACTCAATATTGATTTATTCATCTTAATTTCTTTATATTAATTCTCATAATTCTCAATTTTTTCTTTTTATTCCTATAATTCAATTTATAGATTCTATATAGTTTATAAATGATCAGCCACCTTCAAATTATTTATTTTATATTCTTCTTATAAATCTTATAAATTTCTTTTTAAAATTTCATTTTCTTCTCTTAATTTTTATGCTTCTTAAGATTCTATATGAGCATCTTTCTATTATTTTTGTTTTTATTCTATAAATTATTATAATTCTAAATCATCATCTTCTGAATGCTAACTAATTTAATCTATATCTATAAATTTGTCTAATTATAGACAATTTTAACTTCTCTTTGATCTATTACTTAATATTGATTTATTCATTTATTTTTCTAATATATTTTCATAATTATCTAATTTATCCTTAAGTCCTTTAATTTCATATTATAAATTTGATATAGTTTATTCATGATCAAGATTCCTTTAATTATTAATAATTAATTCTTATTCTTAATCTATTAATTTTCTTCTTAATATATCATTTTCTTCTCTTAATTTTGATACAATAGCTCTTTCTTAATTTAATTCATCTTAATCTGTTTCATTAATCTATCTTTATCTTTATTATATTAATTCTAATATTTGTTAATCTTCATCTTCTGAATTCTAACTTGTTTCTTCAATATCATTAAGCTAATCTATTTAAATTGCATTTACACTTCTTTTTGATCTATTACTTATAATAGATTTATTTAATTTAAATTCTCTCAATTCATTTATATTTTGCTTCAATTAATCAATATGTTTATCTTTCTCCTCAATAACTAATTTTAATTGAACTATCTCTTATCCTTAAATATCGTTATTTTATGGCATTTATTCTAATTTCGAGATTTGTAATTATTATTAAAACTCTAATTAAGTAAATTCCTCTTCTTTATTAAAATCTTCTATTTACTTTTATAAATTTTCTATCTCCAACTTTTATTTTGATATAAGTTATTGATCAGAAGTAACTCTCTCTATATACTTATTGATAGATTCTCCTTAATCATTTAATTCATTTTATTTAGATTAAATTTAAATATCCTTTTCTTCAATATTTGCTTCTAATTTTGAAATTTTCAAATTTAATTTCTATTCTTATTTTTTAATTTCCTCTTACAATTAAAAGATTTATTTACTTGATTCTTCATTAATCAGTTGAATTTGTTATAATTCTTCTTCTTTATTTTAATAATTTATCTAAATATTTTCCAATTTTTATAATTTATCTAAATATTCTCTTTCTTAATCTAACAATTATTATTCTAAATTGTTTGATAACTATACAATTTCATTCTCTTTATTATTTAATTTACTAAGTGCTTCATCTTTTAATTTAGATAATTGAGTAATTTAATTTCCATATTCTTCTATCTTTTAACTAATTTCTAATTCATAATTTATTAACTTCTATTTTAATTCAATTATTTCTTAATCTTTTATCAACATTATTTCATCATTTTTATTAATTATATCTTATTATTATTAAATTTATTGAATAAGTTAAGAATTTTTATCTTAAATAATTATTAAATTATTTTATAACACTTATTTTTCATTCTAGTATTACTAACTTAATTTTTCATTAACATTTTTAAGAGAATTAATTTCTATATCTTTTTCATCTATAGAATTTTTTAGTTCATTAAATTATTACTAAATTTATATCATTTTAGAGTTTAAATCTTCCTTTATTCTTCTTTCCATTTTAAGATTATCTTATAGAAACTAATTATCTTATTATATTTCTTTTTCTTATTTAAACTATTTTTTTATTAATTTAAAATAATCATTATATTTTTCTTAATATTAATTTTACTTCTAGGTAACTTCAAATAACTTATTGGTTATATTATTCATGAAATTATTCTATTATTAACTAATAGAAACTTCAATCTTATTTAATTCCTCATTTTATTAATTTATTAATTCTTCTTAATTTATTTGATAATTTTGTTATTATTACTATATTTACATTTCTAAATTTAAAATTTATTCATCCTTTTTAATTAATTCTTAATTTAACAATTCATTTTAGCTTTATATTTATAAATTATCTTATAGTTATTTTTGAGTATCAAAATATGAATCTTAATTTTCAATTTCTAATTATTTTAATTTTATTTGATATTCTTAATTTTCCTATTATAACACTGCTATTTCTTATTAAATTTATTTATTTATAGACATTTATGCTTCAAAACTTTCTACATGCTTATTTTTATCCATCTCTAATTATATATTTATATTTTTTAATGTTGAAATCTCTTCTTAATATTAAAAACAATTAGTATTTATTAAATTTACTTGTTCTTGTGTTTTTAACAATTTTTAATTTAAATCAAAAATATTATTATTATGTTAATCATTAGCATTTTCTAAAGATTTTATTAATTCTTGTTATTATAGTATTTTTACTTTTAATTTTTATAACTTTGTCAAAAGATTTGGTTACAATTATTGAAGTTTTATTGATAATTAATTTAATTATTAGGTCGTATTTACTAGAACTTATAAATTTAATTATTGTGAATTGGTTATTTCTTCAATTTATTATGATTAATTTTTATTTGTATTCTAGAGAAGTTAAATACTCTACTCTTGATTTTTATTTTATTAGTTAAGTTCATTATTAATTTTTTATAAATCTAAACTCTTCTATTCTAATAGACCATATTATAATTCCTTATCTTTTATCTTTGATTATAAATCTTCATTTATTTATTAGAGTTGTTCTATATATTGAGTATTTTCATTTATTTAGTGATTCTTTAATTAATCAATTTCTTTTTAGAATTGATTATTTAATTATTATAATTCATTTTCTTTTTCTTCTATTTTAATTTTTAAGGTCTTTATTTCTAGTTATGAATTTCTTTCCATTTCAAATAATTTATTAGTTTGGTTATCAAATTACTATATTTAATCATTGATAGTTTATTTTAATTAACTTATTTATTATTATTATTAAAGGTAAACATTATTTAATTCACTTTAATTTAAATTTAATTAATCAATTTATTGTTATTTTTCATTGTTTTATTTTGCTTAAACTTAAATTTAGCATTCTAAATTGTCTTTTTAAGTTTACAATTCAAAATGTTAATCTTATAAAGTCTTTAATTGAATTTAATTTTCATTTTGATGAGTTAAAAGCTATTGTTCTAATTCTTAATATTAATGTCTTAAAGTATTTTCAGTTATTGTTAAATCTTATAAATTTTATTCTATTGTATTTTTTGTTAATGATAAACTTATTAATTACTCTTTCATAATTACAATCTCCTGTTTAAGCTATAATATTTCTTATTCTTATTCAAAATTCTTTTTTTCTAACAAATTAATTATTTAATAATTATTTTCGTATTGTTTTTCAAGTTTAATTTTTTGATCTTACTATTCCTCACTTAATTTATTTAATTTTGAGATTTCATTACAATAAATATTATTTTAAGTAATTTAATCATTCAATTTAAACTCTAAATTTTATTAATCTTATTTTAACTAATCTATTTATTAAGATTAATTATCAATTATTTATGTCTTATCTAAAATTTATTATTTTAATTAGATCAATTAATTTTCAAGTTCAATAACTCTTTATTATTCCTTTTCAATCTTTTAATTTAATTGTTTAATACAATTATCTTAATCTATTTCAATTTTTCTTTAAGATTCTTAAATAACATCAAGATCTTCTATCTTTTAATAATAATCTTAATTTTCTAAGATCAATTAATTAATTTCTTAATCTTAATGTTTAATCTTTTCTCTTAAATTTTCAATTATTTTAAGTAATTCTTCATTCTAATTTTATTATTCATTATAGTTTGTAAAATTTCCACCTTATAATTCTATTTATCTATCATTATTTGATTATTTTTTGATATCATTTATTGGTTAATCAAGTAAATCATTAAGGTCTAATAAATTTTCATTTTATTATTCACAATAAATTTATTATTCTTATTCTTTTTATTCAAATATTAACTAATTATTACTTTTATTATTTTAGAAATTAATAATCTCATCTTATTGCTATTTGATTATTTCATTTAATTTTTAAATTTCAATTTTTAAAAGTACATTTTCTTAATTTTAATCAGTTTATATTAATATAATATCATTATCCTTCTTATCTAATTCTTCATCATTTGATTTTTCTTCAAATTGATCTAAATCTTTTTCATTTATAGATTAGATATTAACCAATTCATTAATTTAATCTTAAATTAATTTATTATCTTGTTATTTGTGTTCAATTGTTGATAGAATTTACTCATATTCTGCAAATTTTTCTTTTAAATTTACATTTTCTTAAGTGACATTCTAATATTTTTATTATAATTCTTCATTTAATATTTATAAATTATGTAAATTATCTGATAAGTTTTATTATTATTGTTATGAATCATTTAATTATGATTGTAAAATTTCATTTCTTTAATTTGCTTGATTAATATCTTATTTTTTATATATGATTTCTTCATTTAATTATTAATTCTCTTTTTATAAATTCTCTATTTAGTTATAACAATTCTTTATTTAATCAATTTATTATTAATTTTAAGATTATAAAATTAAGCAATTATTATTTAAATCTTCCAAATTTTTATTCAATAACTGATTTAAATTTAATTATTCATTTATTTATAATTTATTATTATATAACTCTTATTTAAGTATTGAATTTTCATTTTCTAAAACATTTTTATTATTTTCAAACTCTTTTATTTAATCATTTGCTATTTCTAACTCTTACTTTAATTATAATGTTTCTTTCTTTTATAAAATTAATTCTTATTTTGTTGAATCAATTAATTCATTATTTTAAGTTAACATTTCTTCTTTATTTTAAATTTGAATTTATAGTTAATTGATTTATTCATTTGAAACATCTAATAATTATTTTAATTCTTTTATAAAATCTGAAAGTTATAATGTTTATTTTTAATATTCTTTTATAGACTAAAATTATTATTAAAGATTATCCTATGATTCTAACAATTAATCATTTATAATCTGATATTAAACTTGTAATTAATTATATTTATCATTAATTAAATCAAGAGCATCTTCTTTCTATTTTAGATAAGTGATTATTTTTTATTAATTTGAAATTTCTGTAATTAGAGTATCAATTCTTTCATTAAATTACTCATTTTAGTTTTCTTAATAATTTAATTAATCATTCAATTCATTAATAATTTATTAATTATTTTCTAGATTTTCATTTAATAATTAAACGGCAATTTATTTTTCTTTTATTTAATTATTTAGGTTTACTATTTATTCTTTTTAAATATTTGTATCATAATTTAATTTCTCAATTTAAATCTCAAGTTCATTAATTTAATCATTTAACAATTATTTATCATTATCAAATGATTATAATAATTCATTTTTTTATTATTCAGATTCTTATCTCTATTAATTAATTTTATCTTTTAATGAATTAATTTAAGAATTATCTAAGATAACTTATTTATCAAGAGAATCATTTTTAATATTTAATAGATTGATATTTTCAATTAGAGTTTGTTTTTCCTGATGTAAAATTTAATTCTAATCTTTATTATCTTTTAAATCCTTTTACAATTTAGTTATATTTTTATTAGCCTCATTTAATTCAAGTTGATATATTTAGTTTTAATGATTTAATTAATCTATATTATTTTTCTATTGATTTAAAGAAGTTTCTAAATTTTTAATTTCACTTTCTAGTTCCTTAATTATAATTTGATTTTCTTCAGATTATTACAATAATTAAATAACTTGAGTAGTTAGATTTGTATTTTGCAATTACAATTATTCTTTAGCTTCTTTTAGTTTATTTAAATCTTCATGAATAGCTTTATTTTAGTTTTTTAATTATTGATTTTCTTATTTAAATTACTCTTATTATTTTAATACATCTAATTATGCTAATTAAGATTAATAATCTTATTCTTACTAATTAATTTAATTTAATAATGTTTATTTAATTTCTAAAAAATTATCAAATTAATCTTATTTTTCTTAAGATATCTAATTTAATTAATTATTTAATTCTTGAATTGATTATAATTATTAATTTGATTAAATGGAATGTTCTTATATTTAATATTTTAATGAATCTATTAGTTTTTATAAATCAAATATTTTTTCATCTTTTGATGATGATTCTTCTCTTTCTTTACTTAATTGAAGTTATAATTTCTAAAAATCATCTTTCAAATTTGATTTATCTATTTCAAGATTTCTTATTTTTTTTTAATAATTTAATTCATTCAACTAATTATTTTATTTTTAAGTATTTATATATTATTCTTATACTTTTATTTCATATTCCAATTTTTCATTTTCCTATCTTAATTTAGTATTTATGTCATTAAATTCTTCTATTTATTTTTACAAATAACAAAAATCTTAATCTTGTTACTTTTATTTTTCTTAAAAATTTAATAGTTATAATTCTGTATCTTTTAATTAATTATTAAGATTCTAATTTTTCAATTTTAATTAACTACATTAATCATTTGATTATTTTAATTTTTATTATAAATCTAGGATCTTTGAATCAAACTCTTAAAATGAATCTTCTGACTCCATTTACCACTAATATCTCTAATTATTTTATTACACTTAATATTATTTATATATACTTCTTTTTTTATCATTTATTGTAGCTTAAGCTATTCTGACTAATTCTGTTAATTAATTTCTACTTACATTAGATATTGGTTCCAATTATTTTTTTAATTTTGCTATTTCATTAGAATAAGAATCATCTGAATATTAACATTCATCTTTTTTCTTATTTTAATCTGAATGTAATCCAAATGTTTCAAATTTGAATGGATCGACTGACTTTTAATTAGATTACTTTTCATTGCTATATTCAAACTATTTTGGAGATTAAACTAATTAATTAGGTGATTGCAAACTAGGAGAATAAGGATATTCTTTCAATTTATATCCACTGTTAAAAGATTTAGTTCCATTATCTAAGATTTACTTAATACTTTGATAAAATTGTATAATACATCTATTGAAGATCTTATCTTTAAAGTTGACAATTTTTAGATTCACTTCTAATAGGTTAATTGGATACTGCATTTTACAGTCTATTATAAGAAAAATCTCTTATTCTTGCCTACAGATTTTCAAAGGTTGATGCCTGAGACCGTGATTCTTTTCTAAATTATAGTAATCTCATATTACTGCTTTTTAGGTCTATATGATTGATTTCTTGTTGCTTCACGATTAGGATTCATTTATAACTATAATTTTAAATATATTATATATTAATATATATATTCAATTTCATTATTTTATTTAAGCCAACATAGATTGCCATTACAGTAAAACAGGATGTTTATCGTTTTTGTATACCTTAGTTCCACATTTTATAGCTTTATCATATCTATTTAAATTAGAATTATTACAATTCAATTGCCTATTTATGTTCTTGCTATTCCAATTCTATTTTAGCTAATTCAATGTATAATTTGCATTTCTCTAATGAATCTCCTATTATTATATTTAAAGCATTTTAAATGTGTTCCTAAGCCTTCTAAATTTATTGTTTCTTAATATAACCCTTGATTATTTAAATGTGAATCATAATCTTTAGATATTCATGTTAAACTTTGGAATTTCTATAAAATTCAAAAGCTTTTAGAGCATAATTAAGTTAAATATCTTCTTCAATTGATATTTCACTCCATATTAAATATAAAATTGATTTTAAAGGATGCATTAAATTCAAAGGGGGATCTTCAAGTAAAATCTCTTTTAATTATGAATTTGTAAAGTTCAATTATTAAAACTATTTATATATATAAATTATACTTACTTCTTAAAAGAGTCGTAAAAATAATACATTGGTTTCAATAATTATTTGCTTAATATTTGGTATTTCTGTTTCACTACATTGATCCAATAATTCTTGAAATTCAAGCATAGTTTCAAATGCTTCTTAAATTCTACCTAAATAGATCAAAAAAAATAAATGATTTGAAACTAATTAAACTTTATCTTCTAAGGGAGCATCCTATAATAATTTTTATAATTAAACAATAATTTATAATCCTTACTCATAACATCTAAAATGTTTACATAAATCAACTAAACATCTAAGTTATTTTTCCTAAAATTATATTTATTTAAAAGGTTTATCAGGAATTTACAGATTAGGTTGATTACCTAATTGCTCTTTAATTTTTTAAGTTTCTAAAATCAATTAATCAATATCAATAATAGGGGATATTAAATCTTATCTGAACATTTTCTTAAGTAATTAAGCTAGATTTGCAAACTTTTATTTTTCAATCATTTGATTTAAATTTGGTAACATAATATCAATATTATTAGTTTAAGTAGGTTAAGGATAATATAAAATAACATAAATTATTCTAGCCAAAATCCATATCTAGGCTTATTAAACTTATTCATCTGTAAAATTGTTTGTATGTTATGTGATCAAATCATTTGTATTATAAATATTCTCTTATCTTTCTAATGCTTATTCTTGTTAATCAATTTTTTAAATTATAATTGGATCCATATAATCTGGTTTTATTGTTGTAGGATACTAATTAAATGTTGTTGGTATATAAGTAGCAGTATCAAAATAAATTTTATATTGGTTTTAATTGATATATTAGAACCAAACACTTTTGGCAGTAATTCCATTTAAGTATAAACCTTATTATTAATATAGCTTAATTTATTGAGCCATCTCTAATAATATTTGAAGCAATTATAATTCAGAAAATGTATGTAACTCATTTTAAACTAATTAATACAAATTAATAGTTCCTAATTCAACTAATAAACAATGTTTGTTATCAATATTTTTTATTTTTATGCTTGATCTAAACTTGCTATCTAATTCATTATGAATTTTAACAATTTCATTATATTATTTACCATTTTCTATAAAACATTAAATTTATATATTTTAATCTTCATTCATAGCATAAATAGTATATTTTGATTAATCTTCACTTAATTTATAATTTATATAATATAAATTTGCATATCCAATTTTTGAAAGATCATTAGCTTCTAAAGTAGTAAATGGCAAATAAGATTGATCGTTATCAATATATATTCTTTCTGAGGTTGAATTTCCTAACAATGTTAAAATACTTTCCTATCTTAAATGTTCACTAAAATTATTTCTATAAAATCTACTCAAAGGTACCATTCCACTTCCCAAAATATCCAAAAATGATTATTAACCTCTCTCTTGATTAGTATGTAATGATCCAGTTCCAGTATAATGATAACTTATAAAATCTCCATGATCTCCCCACATTTATTTAAATAAAACAATAATTGGATTTAGGAATTTAGTATTATTTTCATTAATATCTAAAATCTTTTATCCTAATATTCTTTCTAAATCCAATCCCATACATTTCAATTGATATTCTAACATCAATAATCCAACTCTTTATTAATATACATTAGTTCTATCTAAACAAGCTAAACAATTAGTCCTAACAATTCCTCTTTATTTCAATTTTCTTTAATTTGTTATTAAATCATAGGCATCAAATTACATATTTTTAATAAAATTACTTATTTTCATAATATCTTAATTTATTATATGAAAATCAACACCTTAAGTAATTTCATCAAAATTATAATATATATATTTTAATCTATCAGGTTAATATTAATGAATTCCTAATTCATAAGCTTATATTAAATCATGTTCTGTTTATTTATTTTTATTCATTAAATTCACAGCTAATACTCTTTCATATTTTTATACTAATTTATTAAAATGATTTGTAAATCCTATTTGATTATCTTATTCATTCCCATACAATTCTAATTTCTTCATTAATAAATTTCCTGATTCTCTCCAAAATACAGGAACACTCCCTCTAATTTATTTAAATTAACATTTTAAATTTGCTACAACTACTATCTAAGTAGTTTCAACAAAATTAGCCACACTTCCATCTTTCTATACTCCTGTTTAAGCTAATCTAGTTCCTGGAGCCTTCAAAGATCTTTTTGCAATTAAAGCCACTTATACTCTTTTACCTTCTAAATAAACTGAAAAACTATCCATAAATCCTTAAATCATTAAAACATCCCAATTTTTTATTTATTAAGTATATAGTTATTTACATAATCCTCTATTCCACATAAATTCTTCTCTATCAATATCATCACATTTCTCATATGTAAAATAAAATCCTTTTGAAAGTAAATTTTTTAAGTTTGATACAGCTTCTTAAATTTCTGTAACTGAAGCTGCTCTATTGTCCAAAGCTATAAATTTAGTAGTATGAATATGAAAGAAATCTTTGTAAAGAGGATGCAATTAATGATGACTACAACGATCAACCATCAATAAAAATATCACAGATTTTATGTTTATAAAACCTAAAAATGCAGAATATAATTATGATGATTCTTATAGTTTTCGACTTTTTAGATCTTCAACAGAAATACGAAAATCTTTTCGATTGATAATTAATCGTGTATCTATTGGAAGACTTTTACTATTAGGTTCTAACTATCAATAAAATCAAGATTTACAATGATTTCTGATTATGTAATAAGTACCTTAATTGCTTAGATATTTTAAGGTAATAATACAGATTGATTCTAATTAGCTATTTCTCTCTTGAAATCTATTTGATTAATCAAATCCACCATTTTTTAATTTAATTTATATAATATAATATTTTATTAATTTTTGATAATATTAAATATTATATTATAATATACTCATTCACACATTTGATTAATCATTATTTTCATCCTATAGAGTGTCATATTTAGTCTAATTTTGTACTTTCTCTTTTGCTTCTTCCATTTATTTTTCTAATTATAAATTCAAATTCTCTTTCTTTAATTTTTTTATTTTTCTAAATATTTTACATAAAACACATGATCTAATATTAAATTGAATTATTACAATGATATAAGTACTGCTAAAAATATTGTAACTCCAACAATAAGTTCATTAAATCTATGTTTGTACCAATATAAGGAAATATTTGGCATTCCAATTTATGCAACATGATAATATAATTCATAATCTTAAATTGTTAGATTATTAAAAACTAGAACCTAAGCTCTAATAGCAATAAATAATTAAGGATGTTTTGATTATTTATCAACAATTATATTAAATATAATTTGATCAGTATGATTGAGAGCATAATGACCAATGTCAACTTATTAAAAATTATCTGTATGATTTATATGATAATTTGCATACCAACTATATTAACAAAGTCCTATTACATGAGCATACTCAATATTACTACCCCAACTTATAGAATACTTTATTTAACTATTCATTTCTTGATTAAGATCACAACCAATACATTTTAATGGTTTAAATTTAACAGTAATCATATCTGTATCATATGTCTCAAAATAATAATTAATTTAACCATCACCTCCCATAACTAATTGTCCATATGGAGCAAAATCTTGTGCTTTATAGACTTAAGTAGTGAATTTATACACACTTTTTATAGATTCAAATTTAAAATAAACAGGTCCTGGTATAACTGGTATTATAATATCAGTTAATTGACCTTCTATTGTTGTTTTACTACTATTATAAATTCCATCAATAAATTCATTATAATTTTGAGTAATTGAAACTTTCAACTCACCCAAACAATTATAAACTTAAACTGCTAACTTACCTTCATGAGAAATATAAGATTCATAATATTTAGCTTAAGAATCATATATTTAATCATTTAAACTTGATTTTTCATCAATCATTAAGATTTCTTTACCTACAATACTAATTTATAAATCAATTCGATTTAAATAATTGTGTCCATAATTATAAATTTCTCTGAATTAATAAATTCTAATAGGAACAATATCTCCTTCACGATTAAATACATATTAAATAGTATTATTCTCATTTCCTTTGATTTCTAATAAACTATGTATTTTAATAGTTAAAAGACCCTCTAAAATTGGTAAAATATAAGTGTATTAATCATTTCTACTTGAAATAGGTGTAAGTAAAGTAAAATTTGTAGGCTCTGTTTCATTAGATATTTCTATTTTAAAGTATTCTAAACCTTATAATCTCATTCCATATGGAGTCATTTTAATTACTAGTTATGCTTATTTTAAATAACGATATTGATGATATAATGTAATAATTGGAGTTTATTTACTTAAATAAGCAAATGTAATAATTCCATCTTATAATAATTAACCATTACCAGTTGTTGATTATGATACTAATATAGAATAATTAGATGGCTTTTATTAATTATTCTTAACAATTATATAGAGGTCATCATCATTATAATGACCTGCCAAAGTATGTGATCCATTTGCATAAGGAGTATAATTAGTTTCTTCTAAGTGTTATCTTGGGGGTATAATTGCTTAATAGTAAGATATAGAGGAAGTAGTATTCATTAATTTCTATTATTTGATTATGTCATAGGGTCCATAATGATAAAGAGTAGAATCCAATACAGCATTATATCCAATCCACATTTATGTATCACCAATATATTGATTAATTTAAACTTCTATTTAATGATCTGTATCATAAGAAAAATGATAGATATTATAATCATTCTGATTTTCCAAGAAATCTGTAAAAGCAATATTTTAAGGTAATTAAACAAAATTTAATTATGATGTTACTACAACTAATAAATCTACATTAATTCCTATAGTTTTGATTTTGATAATATAAGTACATAATTCACAATATTTTTATTTATCATTTTTATGTATAATATGTTAATTGTAGAATTATCCTGCTAGTAATTATTCATTTATAATAATTTCTTCTTCACAATCTTTTTTTATATTGTCTAAACATCTAGATATTTAGATCATTGAAGTACCTTAAACTTTAATAAATTTAAAGTATAAATCATCATTGTTTTAAATATTAAAGTATTGATATTATACTTCTTCTTGAATATCTAATTTAATTCTTGTTGGTATTCCCATCATTAATTTGTGATTATTCATATCATTAGATATTTCTAATGATAATTGAAATTTGCTATTATCAACTAGAGAATATATTTATATCATAATATAAGGATTTCTAGTGAGATTAAGAGCAGTTAATTTTTCTTATATTTGTGATTATGTCAATTCTAAAACATTGCCCAATACATTAAATTCACATGTATCTAAATTAATATTATCTTCATCATTAAAAGTTAAACATATGGATCCTTTGCCATAAATTTCATGTAATATTAATTTGAATCTTGATTATGGTGATATATCATTAATTTCTGAAAATATAAATTTTCTTGGTTATAATTTATTTACTGAGATTTAAATAGGTAATCCACTTTTTAGATCCATATAATGTTATGTAATAGTGACATAGACAGTATCATCAAAATTAATTTATCTATCACTATTATATTGCAAATCTTATGCTTATAATAATATTTTCAAAACACAATCAGGTTCACAAAATTTGAATGCATCAGAATGAATACTCTTAGAATGCTAAGTTTTGTATTCTTCTTTTGCATATAGAGAATTAGATTCCTAATCTTGAGAATCCAATATTTAAATTTAATATTTAGTGTATCCATAATGTGAATTAATATGTAATTAAACATCATTTTATGAAGATATTACTTTATAATATAAGAAAGTTTCTTGAAATAGATATTCTAAATTAAAAGTGTATTCTTATCCATCTTTAAGTTCTAGAGCAGATTAAGGATTCCAAACATTTAGATTAAATAAGATATCTTCATTTCCATGATTTTCTATTATGATATAAGCTTAACAAATAGCCATTACATATTTATCATCATCCTTGTCTTATTATGTAAGACCATCTAAACATAAACTATTTAATGCAGATTCTGATAATTTAAGTGTACTTGAATCTTAACTTTTTGCAAATTAAGAATGATTATCAGGTTTAATATCATTTTAGACAGTTAATGTTAATTTTTTATTGTTTTTACTTTATAAACTAATATAAAATATAGTAGTATTTTAACTATAATAGAAACTAAAATATTTAGATTTGAATCCTTTAACTAAATCTACAAATTATTAACCTACATGAAGTGTTTTAACAGTTCTACTTGTTGAATAAGTGAAAGTATACATAATTTCTTTATCTAAAAATGTTTCAAACATATTCTGAATTCCAATAGTATAATTACCAGAATTCTAATAAAATTAATCTTATGGTTGTATTGATAAATAATTATTAAAAGTAATTAAATCATACGATTTAAGAGATGGTAATTAATTACCTTGATTTAAAGTTAAAGCTACTTACATTCTTGAAGAATGAATAGCAAATTCAATTGTTGGTTATTATTCATCAATTACTTCAACATTTTAATCTACTTAATTAAAATTAATAATGACTCTAAAATAATGAATTTTTTATAAACCATCTGTTAATTATAATACTCCTCTATAAGTTTCATCTTCTTTTAATACTTTAATATTAATATCTGCTTATTTAGTAACTTTAGCCATAAATTAAAAGATTGTAGCTTCTCTTGCTGTCAAAGTAATATAATATTGAGTATGTTTTAATTAATCTCCTCTAAGTACAACTAAATGATCTACTCCACCAAAATGTTTAGCACATTCAATTCTAACAGGATAACAACTACTATCTCTACTAATCATATATACAATATTATGAGTATTAACTGTAAATACCAATTCTTCATCATCATCTGATTTTTAATATTTAAGTATTAAATGTTCTTCTTATGATTATTCCATATAATTAGTATAAGCAACATCAGATTTAAGAATACGTTAATTATTATCATTTTAAGTAGTCATCATATAAATATTCTTATTATTACTTGATATTTCTAATTATAATTTACAGAATCCTTCTTTATCTTTATTTTAACAATGTGGTGTAATATAAACTGCAGGTTTTTATTCATTTTTATGAAATCTCAAATTATGATTATCTTCATCACTCAATTAACAACCATCTTCACATTCTGCTATTCTTATAGAATTAACACCTTTTTCAAAGTATACTAATTTAATTCCTATTTCTTATTCACTTTCAATAGTTTTAAATAAATAATTATGTTTACCTTTATCTTATATTTTAGATAATATCAATTAATTATTATATAAGATGGCTTCATCAATCAATTTAACAACCATCAAATATTTCATAGAACCACCTTAACTTAAATTAATTGTCACTTCATCTCCTTCAATATCTTCTCTTCTCAAAATAATATGAAATGCTTATCCTCTCTATTATAATTATATTGGTTCTTATGAACTAAAATATATATTATCCTTATTATGAACTTTCAATAATGGTAGCATATCTCCAAAAATTCCTATTTATAAAATTTTAAATTATTGAGGTAATTTCAATTAATAATTGTTCTCATCTCTTTCAAATAAATAATCCTATATTTCTTAATTGATTTAAATTTCTTCTTCATCTTTATACAAATACAATTATCCATTTACTGTTGCTTCCTCTTTAATATTTAAATCTCCACTTAAAACAGCCAATAATTTACATTTCTCACAATCCTTCTTATTCATAGCTACTGTTAATTAAACTTCATCTCCATATAATTTAGCTTTCTCTTCAAATACTTCTATTTTTATTTTATCTGTCTCATCATCTTCTAATTTAAATTCTCCCACCATCCTATTATATTTTCCTGGTAATTGCATAGAAATCACTTAAACAGGCTGCTTTTAAGTTAAGATCAGTTCTGTATTCTTATTACCTAATTCAATTGCATCAGTGTTTATTATTGTAATTCTACCTGTACATGGAACACTAATACATTTTAAATTTATGTCTTCAGATTTTATAGTAAATAATGCAGTCTCATAAAATTCATTTAACTTAAACTCTTCATCTTTACATTTTAATTAGATTTCACCCAAATCACTCTTCTTCTCATCTTATAATGGTCGAATATACAAAATAATAAAATCCTTATCCTATTTTTCAGGCAATTCAACTTATATTGATTTACCTTATTTCAAATCAAATAAGAAATCCTTCTACTTTTTAGTCTAAGTTAGCATTGCAATTAATAACATAACACATATTTGAATGATCATTTTATATTTTTATTATTTTATAATGGTTCAATAATTCACACATCAATTATTTAAATAAAATCAACTCTTATTCATTTCTTCTTCTTAATTTAAACACTTATAATTATTAATAAATTCTAGCCTCATTTTAATATTTAATAATATGGCGATAAATTTATTTTAATCATCTACTAATAGTACATTAAATCCATTTACTAATCATGCCAATCCTATTCCATAATAAAATAATAAGTATCAATTTAAAAATACTCTATTAGCTTTCATCCATCAATCCCTGGCTCTTATAGAGGAATATTTAAAACTGAGAAAATTACATATACTCAAATAGATCGTGATGATTAAAATACAAATTTATATACAACAAACATGTTTATGCAACAAGAATATAAGGGAATTGTATATATTAGATATTCCCATAGAGTGCTTTTCAAATTAGATTAGAGGATTATTATTTAATTAGATCATAATCAATATAAAACCATCATAAATCACAAATTGAAGCAGCAGTGAGGAATAATAGTTTTAATCCTAAAATGATTAATTCTTCGCATTAACAAAGTTTTCATTACTTATTACAATAGATCTAAAATCGCCTTTATTTCAAGATTAAGATGATATTTTCAAAAGATCTAATAACTTATTTAATAAACCCAATGATCACATAAAATATTCCAATAATAACCAAAATATTTTCAATAATCCATCTAATATCAATAAAACTGATATTTTACCCAATAATTCAAATGATTTATTCAATAAAAATAATAATCCAAATATATTTAAAGCTCCTCCTTTTAATAATTAAATGAATAATAATAATAATAATAATCATAATAATAATAATAATAATAATAATAATAATAATAATAATAATAATAATAAATCTACAAATTTATTTCAATAGTAAAATAATAGTAATTCAAATAACATTTTTTAATCAACTAATGGAGCAAACAATTAAGGTAATAATAATATATTTAATTAATCTAATAATAATTTTAATTAATAACAAAAGAATAATAATATTTTCAATAATTAAAATCTCTTTTCCAATAATAATAATAATAATTCAAATAATTTATTTAATCAATCACTATAATCTATTTAACCTGATTTATTTTAGTATCCTACCAATACAAATAATAATTTATTTTAACCTATGATATAACCATCACTTTTAGGATCATTAGATTATTTAAAATTTCAAGAAAATTAATTTAAAGATTTTACTCGTTAAGTAGATACCCAAATTATAATAATGGAACAATAGAAATAAGCAAGTTTAGATGAATATGATTCTATGCTCAGAAACAGCGTTAACATAAATTTTGACTATCGAATGTAAAATTAATATACTTAAAGTATGAAATCCAATAAATCCTATAAATCACAAAATTAAAAATTTATCATTACGACGAGTAATAAAACTATTACTAGTCGTAATGATAAGAAAACTTATTCTACATTTTAACCAAATAGTTTAAACACAGAAATTAATAGCATTTTTAATAGAGAAGATAGAAAACCTATATCAAAATTTTAAGAAAATTTAAAAAATACTGATTCTAAATGTGAGTTTAAAAGTTTTGCTTAGAGAGATGATAGAAAATCATAATCAATTATTTTTATGGATTTAGAAATTATATTTTTAGAAAGTGAAAAATTCTTATCTATTTCTTAATAATTTTAGGATAAATCTAGAATTTATAATGTAAAATAATTTGTAGAAGAACAACTTCAAAATATTGAAATTTTTGGTTCATAATCATAACAATATTTTAATAATTGTTTAATTTATAATAATAATAATCTCATTTAGGATTATAATATTTTACTTTCAAAATTTACTAGTAATAAGCTAACATTCAATTACTTTTATGTAAAATTACCAAAATTAATTAATGATGCTTATTCTTCAAATTTGCATAAATTTCCAGATTTTAGAAAAGTTCATAACTTTTCTGTTTCAAATAAATTTGGTAAAATAGTTTGGACATAAGAAACTAATATTTATTATTTAGATTTAGATAAAATAATTGATATTAAATAGGAATCTATTGAAGTTTATGATACAATCAAAATAAATGAATTGTTGAAACCAGAAATTGGAGTCAAATTAAATAGTGAAAGCTAAATTACATTCAAATTTTAACTAAAAAATTCATAAATTAATGAAGCAAAGTTTAAAAACAATTTAATTAGTTAAGCTTAGAAATAGGGATTAGAATTTATATCTATAGATTTTAAAAATTAAGAATATACTGTAAAAGCATTTCATTTTAGTGGCTATCATTTTAATTCTGATTATTCTTACTCAGATAACTAAAATTATTAGGATTAACAATAATAAGTATAAATTTAAACTAACAATGATGAAATTTCGTTTGAATAAGAAGAAAATGATTCTCTTTCTTTAGAATATTAAAATGAATCTACACTATAATTTAAATAAAAATTTGATATTAATTTTTAGAATTTAAAAATTTAAGAGAAATAAATCAATTATTAATTATCAAATTAAATTATCAATAAATATAATTAAAGACTAACTCAAAAATTTGTTATTCCACTGGATACTTTCTAATAAAATGAATAATTAATAATGAATATTTAATTAAAGGAAATTTACTTTAATAATTAGCAATAATCAGATCAAACAAAGAATACTTAAAAAATATCAATTTTATAACTTGATTGTTTATATCAATTTAAGAGTCCATGTGAAGAAATAATAATATCATTTCAATTATTGAATATTTTGTTTAGCAATTCTATTATATATATTGTACAATTTCTATAATTGTAATCAAATCACTTGGTATCATTGTAAGATATTGATAAGTCTCCAAAAATTAAAAATATTAGAGGTTTACGTTTAAGTTTATTTTTGGAATAATTTAAGATTTATTAGACATAAGTAGAATTTAGAGAATAATTGATATCACAATAATAAATGTAAAATTAGCTATCGAATGTATTTTTAAGTTTAAACTTATAACAATATTCTCAAACTATGATAATATTAAATAAAAATGATTAGATTGATATATTTATTGATTGGAGAATTAATAGATCACAATCATAACCTTTGTATGAAGATTAATGGTGGAGTGAATTATATAATTAATAAAAAGATAACTAGATTACATCATCTTAATTTGCTGCATTTATATATTATTTACTAAAAAAAACTAAATAACCATCTAAAGAATATAAAAAACTGTATGAAAATTTGTATAATAATATTGATACATATACAATAATTTTGTTTAATATCATACTGAGAAAATAGAAAAAAGCTTCATAATAATTGAAATTAATAGGTAAAACATTTATTTCAAAATTATTGAAATCTTAAGTATCTAACTAATTGATATTTACAGTTTTAGAGACATTTAAAAATAAAATATTTCAGAAGGAAGAATTAATTAGAATAAAATCTTTGATTGGGAAAATAGGATTCTTTAATAATATAAGTGGGAAAGATATAAATGATGTTGATTTATATATTAATAGAAAATTGTATCAATAAGCTGTGAAGAAAATAATTGAAAAGAATTTAGAAAATTAATACTATTCAATTTTAAAGGAAAGTATATCACCTTATTTGGTTATCAATGATTACTATAATGAAAATGATGTAAGATTAATTATAAAACATATTATAAATATAAAAAAAGAAAACTAAATTATAAACATTATATGCATGGTATAAATATAATTAAATATTAGATGTATTTATTGGAAATAGAAATGAATGAGATATTAATTTAGAAGTAGATAACAAAAAATGAATATCAATATCATATGAAGTAGATAATATTAAAATTATGCTATAATTCATTTTGATTGTATATATATAAATAATTAATATCATTTTATTTTCTACTTAAACCTATTTGATTATATAATAATGTATTTGATAATTAAATGTTTTTATTTATAATTTTATATATATCTGCAGGAAAAGATAGTTATTATTTAGGATCCATAAAACATACACTTTAACCAAATTAAACATTTGAGCATCAATTCTTTGATGTCAATCAAATTAAATCCCTTGATTTATACTTTCCTGATCCACCCTATAGAATAATTAATGATGAGGATATGAATTGTTATTGGTCCAATTAAGCTATAGGACTTAAACCAGTTTAAACAATATAAATGAATATAAGCAATTCATTAGATTCTGATATAGTTTGTTTTGATGAATGCTACATTAGATAAGGATAATTAATTTTTACAACTAAAAATTAAACAATTGATCTTCAATAATAAAATTTAAAATTATTAGTATTGCCTTCAGAAGGATAAATAATCCATTACAATGAAAAATTTGTTAGTGTTTTTGATACTATCAATATGAAAATAATAAATGAAAATATGCCTGTAGATTTTACATTGAAATTAAAATAAAGTCGAATGAGTTAACAACATATGTCAACTAAAATAATTTATTTATGTTTAGAAAATGGAGTATTTGCTTATAATGATGAATATTTTATAATAAATTAATATGGGACTAAATGTAAATCAATTATAATACAAGATGATAATTTATTTATTGTAGCAGATGCAATAGAAATTTATGATATAAATGATCCTTTTGAACCTATTTATTTATATAAATTTAACATAAGTGTTCATTATTTTGATATCTATTAAGATTATATGGCAGTTTTGGAATTATTAAATGAATAGAAAGGAAAATTGAGTTTATTTAAATTTAATTTTTAATTTGGATTAAATGAAATAGTTAATATAACATAAGAATCAGAAGGAACAATACAAGTAGATTCTTAAGATATTAGATTTGGATTGCTAAATAAAGATATTGCTATTATAATTAATAAGGAGTAAATTAATTTGATAACTTTATAAACTAATTTTCATTAAAAATATAGACATAATAATGGTTTGGGATAAGCATAACACTTTTTAGATCCAGAAAATAAAATATTTATTAGAGATTCGCAAATAATTTAAGTCAGTAATAATAGTCTTATATTTTATAATACAACAAGTCAAATTTATAATTTAGTATGTAATGCTCCTGTTGAGAATAAATTGAGGAAACATCTATTCTTTGGTATTATAAGAAGTGAAGAAAAATGTAGAAGTACTAAAAAAGTAGATGAAAGATTCAAAGAACTTTTATCTAGAGAAAAGACTGATCCAAAAATACAATGTTATTATACTTTTTAATTAAGTCTAAATATCATACCATTACAAACACATTGGTCTTTACAATCAAAAATTCTCTTATGTATATTCTTATTTCTACTCATATTGCTTATATTTCAACAATTTAAGAATCAATAAGAAAAACAAACTCTAAATAGTTTGCAAAAGTTTGAATAATTAAATAGAATCAACCTATAGAAATAAAAAATACGTATTACTCATGATGATGAAGAATAGAATAATAATAAAATTGATTTTTATTGACAATATCCATATAATTAATTATATCTTTTATAATTTGAATATTTTCATAATATGTATTATTTCATTCTTAATTACTAAATAAATTATATATTATTATTTAATTACTTAAATGTAAATACACAGATTCTTTTAAGAACATTAAAATTATTAATCTGAATGGCTTATTCTTTAGCAAAGTTATTCTCAAAGTAATTCTTTTTATGAAATATCAAAAGGGTTGTAACTCATACTTTTTTTAGAGACATTCAAGTGATTGGATAAGAAAATATTCCAAAAGTAATTCCATTATTTTATTTATAGGATGGTCCTATTTTACTCTATGGAAATCATAACAATTAATTTATTGATCCATTAGTATCAATTTAAATCATCTTAGTTAATTATATCCAATATGACACGTAAGATCAATTTTATTGCAGCAGCAAAAGTAACATCATCTCTTATACATAGAGCATGAGAAAACCAATAATTGGAGATATAGGTAGAGCTTTAGGTGGTATTCCCGTTGAAAGACCTTAAGATTTGGCAAAAGTTGGAAGTGGTATTTTAAAGAAATTTGATGGAACATATTTGTTTGGAGAAAATTCTTAGTTTACAAAATAATGCCAAATACATGATTCCATTCTTATACAAGGAGTAATATAATATATTATGCTAGATTGACACTATTATACTAGTAGTGGAAATTATTAGTGATACAAAAATTAAAGTGTAATGTGAAGATTCAAGTCAAGTTCACATTAAAGATAATAAATATAAAATTTAACCAAAAGTAGATCAATCCTAAATGTTTGAATAAGTTTGGTTAGCTTTGAAACAAGGAAAATGTATTGGAATATTTCCAGAAGGAGGATCACATGATAATACTACATTACTACCATTAAAACCAGGAATATGCATCATGGCTTTAGGAGCTAGTTAAAAATATTAAACAAAAGTTAAATTATAACCTGTTGGATTAAATTATTTTAAAGGACATAAATTCAGATCCAAAGTTATTATTGAATTTGGAGTTCCTTATGAAATTAGTTAATAATTAATTGATACTTATGCTGTTAATAAGAGATAAGCCATTAGTAAATTATTATTAGAAATAGAATAGGTATTAATATTAAATATAATAGCAACTTAAATCAGTAACCATTTAAGCTCCAAGTTATTCTCATTTATCAGCTGTTATGATAGGAAGATCTCTTTATTTACCAGATAGAACAAGACTTTCTCCATAAGATCTTCTTTAACTTACAAAAAGGTTTAATTTTGTTTTAAATTTGATTTAGATTTTCATAAGCTTTTTATAAATTAAAAGATCATCCTGAAGTAACTTAAGCATTAACTGAAATCAAATTATATAATTATAAACTTAAAGCATTAGGTGTTAAAGATTGGGAAGTTATGAGAATGTAAAAGAGAATTTATTTGGATCTGCAGATGATTGGATTTAATATATTCATGACTTTAATTTGTTTACTATTTGCATTTCCTGGATATATCATGACAATTCCAATAACAATTGTATTAAATATTTATGCAGAAAAAGAAAGGAAAACTGCCTTAGCTGGATCTAAGGTTAAAATATCTGGAAAAGATGTTGTTGCTTCTTATAAAGTGTTGGCATCAATTATCATAGTTCCAATTGCAGTTATAATTTATACAATTCTATTTTATATATGGCTTATAGCTTACAATATAGTTGATCAAGAATCTACTATAAAATATACTATGATTTTTTTATTAATGTGGCCACTTTACATTACTGCAATGATTCGTTCTAATGATGGTTTAATTAGACATGCAAGAAAAGTGAATAGTTAGATTCTATTCTATTTATATGAGAATAAGTATAAAAAATTAAAGATTTTAAGAGAAGAATTATAAAATAAGGTATTAGACAAAAATTTGAAATTATTTTTAGATTAGAAAATTAGTTGATACTTTTGGAGAAGAAGTAGTTTAAGATTTTAGTCATCATAGAATAGTTCAAAAAAATTAATTATAATCACCAAAATCAGTTGCTGAATTAGATATTTAAAATGTATTTGAGTCACTTTTAGAGTTGGGAATTTGATTTAATATTATTTATACATATTTATACATTTAAAATCAATCCTTATTTAATTGTGAGAAAAATGAACTGATTTTCCCCATCATATTTTATTATTATTATTATTATTATTATTATTATTATGGTGGTTACTACTATTCTTAATCTGTTATCTAATTTTACTCTTATTATTATATTTAAGTCTATTTCTCTTATTAATCCTTCAACTATTTCTATTTTTCAAATCCTTCAATTGCATTCTATCATTAAGATTATATGTTATTTTTACAAATAAATCAGAAGATATTTCTTCATTCAATTCAAAAAAGGCCATAAATTTATACATAATATCTTTAATTGCTCCAAATTTAAAATTAAAAAGAAGCATATTTTATGCCATTTGTGTAAGGATAGTTAAGATCATATTCTTTTCTGTTTAAATCTAATCAAATATACTAATAATATATAATTTAAAATACGTCAAAGACTTTTATCTTTATTATTATTCTTTAATTTATTCATAAATTTATTAAATAATACTAGTTTCCCACAAATCTCTATTTTCCCATATTTAAAGTTTAGAAAAATCATTTTAAATAAAATAACATTATGATTTACCATTTTCAATATTTTCCATATGAAATGTGAATGATAAATTCATTAATTATCTTGCTGTTCCAGCATCAAATGTATCCAAACACTAAAATAAATATTATATAGAATACTATTTCTAATACTGAATTAAATAAATTAACAGCATTTTAAAATGCAATAGGTCCAAGTCTAAATTTTGAAGTTGATCTTTTATTTTATAAAGCAATAATGACTAGTTTTCTTAATTAATAATCATCTTAAATCTTTTTTTTAAATTGATTGAATATTTCAATCTCAACTTTTTCTTCTTTCCAACAATCATATACAATTTTAGCAGCATAATAGGCATTCTCTTATTTTTAATCTTCTTATTAAACATTTCCACCTTATTCAACTAATGAAATGATTTATTTAACTTTTTAATCATTATTCAATTATAATATTTCATCAAATTCTTTAGAAAAGAATCTTTATAAACTATTGCTAATAAAGGAATTCAATTATATTAATTCTGTTTTTTCAAAAAGAGGAGGATTATCCAATTTTTAAGATTAAGCAAATTTTTAAACTTCTTCTTCTGGATGTATCTCATCTGTTTTTTCATTAATTTTATCTAAATCATATTAAACATTTTTAGAATGAGAGACTTCAAAAATCTATTATAATTTTATAATTATTTTATATATACAATTTATCTAATAAGAGTGTCTTTGAAAACTGTAATTCTTTTTTCTTCTTATTCTTACATTTGAGTTAAAATTGATTGAATTCTAGCTTTTGCTGTATCACAATTTGTATTATAATCTGCAACTGATTATTTATATCTTTATTCCATTTCTTATGATTCTTTGGTTACTTAAGTGACTTTTTAATTTTAGCTAAGTCTCTTTTTATCTGGATATTCTGATAAAAGATTATAGACAACCATTACAGTAGCATTTTATTCATATTCTCTCTTTTTTTGTCTGTAATCTGAAAAATTCTAATTTTTAATATATATATATTATTATACTCTTTTGTATTCAGAATTAAGAAATAGATGTTCTTTTTCTATTTTCTTAGCTTCATCTATCAATTTCTTTGATGAAGTATTTTATTATTAGATCAATTATTTTAATTGAACAATAAGATCTTCTTTTAATGATTAACATAATCCTTCTGCTTAACGTTATCTACTTGTACTTAGACATTTTAAACAATATATTGGTATTTTAAACATTCTAATAATTACTTATAATATTATACTATTGTTTATCTTCAATTTTTGAGAGATTATTCACTAATTTTTCTAATGATTTTGCATATTTTTCTTCAATATTTACTCTTTCTTCAAAACTATCTATAATTTCTTCTATAATTTTTCTGCCTTATTAAGATTAATTAGCTATAAGTTAGAAATGTGAAAAAAATAAATCTGCGTAATTTGATTGCATTTATTTTATAAATAAATAATATTTTTCAGAGATCTAATATAGATTTATGACGTCCCAGATTAGGAATTATGTTGGAAAACACAATATTAACTTCTTCATCTGCAATCTAATCAATATGATCAAAATCTCTATAATCATTATCTATTTCAAAAAATGCCATTTTCCTCTCTGTTTTAGTAGTTGTTTATTTGATAAATATCTTTTAATTTGGACTTGTTTCTCTTTCTTTTTTCTAAGTATCTATTGTATTATTTCTTTAATCTTTTCTTTCAGTAGGAAATCTCTTGAATTTATCAATCTAACTTATCTAATAATTATTAATCTAACTAGTTCCAAAACTAGATATATTCTAACTTATATTCTTATTATCATATATATATTAATACTCTGCTTTATTTATTTTTAATATCAGGTGATAAAGAATCAAGAGCTTATTCCTTAAATGGTAAATTCAAAAATGAACTACCTTTTTGTTCTTAACCTTTATCCTCACTACTTTTACGAATATCAGAATCTACTCCTATTTATATTAGTTTTTCTAATTATTATAAATAATACCTATTTTTTATTTTTATTAATTTGTCCATAATCTAGACTTACGTTTCTTGATCTCTGGAAATCTCTCCCATTCGTATTCTAATGTACCCAAGCCTTATTATGTATACTATTCCTATTGTAATTATTTCTAGAACAGTTCCTTTAGGAATTCATAATCAGGTTCACCCTAAAAGTCAAGTCCACGAGCATAGATGAATAAATTCAAGAAACACTTAAATGATGATAATTAGGTTAAACTTTTGGCAATCCTTCACAAAGCTTTTCCAAAGTTATTTGTTATTTAAACTCTTTAATTTTCTAATACTTCTCAGACTTTGTGGTGGTATTCAAATTCATCCAAGGTAATTTCCCTTTGGCTAAATAGACTAATACGTATCCCAAACTCTCAATATCATCTTTACGTGATTATTCCTTAGCTTTGATTTCATATTCACAATAAAATACATAAATGTGCTGTCAAACTAGCATATCTTGCTGTTCCTATAATTCCTTTCTTATCTATCTATGGTATATGATTTCCATTTTATTCTCTATAATACTTAGCTAATCCAAAATCAATTAAATAAATTTTATCAACATCCTCATAACCTATACATATATTATCTGGTTTCATATCTCTATGAATTAAATTTTTTGAATGTAATAATTTTAATCTATCAATTAAACTTATTCCTATTCTGCAAACAGTTGTCATACTAAATTTATAATTACTCTTCTTAAAAAGATGTTCTAAATTCTATCCTAAATATGTTTGCATAAAGTAATTGTAATGTTCATCTCTCCCATAAAATACGATCTATGGAAAACCTTTATCGATTAGTATATTACCTTCAAATTCTTATACTTCTATTAAAACTTTTATTTCTTTCACTAATAAGCTCATTCCATTTGAATTCTCTTCTCTCTTCTCAAATTTAGTAGCAAATATATCTCCTGTCTCCAAATTTTCTGTCTTAAATATCATACCAAAACTCCCTTAACCAACTTTATCTATTAGTTTAAATTTCTATGCAATAATCTATCCAACAGATAATTTAAATGGGTTCTCTGAATGTGTAGTCGCGTGTTTTTTTGTGGATCTCATAATTATTTTTCAATCAATTATATATATATATTTATAAATACTCATTAACAAATATAGATATTCCAAGATTTTATTGATTAATAGAATATCTTCATATCCATTACTTATTTAATAAAAGTAATCTTTAGGCTATAGATAATAAATCTATAAAAAACAATTATAACAATTTCAACAAAAACAAAATGAAAATAATTCTCAACTATTAAAGTGTTTGTTTTTATCATTTAATATTTTATATATATCATACTATTAAAAATTATGTTTTTTACTATATATATTTATATTATAAACAATAGTTGATTTTTATATCATAAATACGTTATAAATTATTTTTAGGTTTTAAGTTAATGCTAAAGCAAAGAATTAGATGTTAATCTTTCAAGTGATATTTATTGATCAATTGATTATGTAAATTAAATTAACATCAAAATGGTCAATCATTTAAACATATATTTAGAATTATTAACTTAAACATAAAGTGAATTATTTTAATTTCTATCTTTTATCATTTTCATATAACAATTATTTTATGCTATTGAAAGCAGATTATTAAATAAGTTAAGTGATAATTAAATTAGGATGTTTTTAATTTATAGAAAATATAATACAGATATGAAATAATGAATGTTATATACTGTTTTCGAAAAATTAAGATATTTGTATTATTGAACAAGAATTTTGAAAATTTTAAAGATTTAGATTATCAAAAAAAAAAGATAAAGGAATTCCAACTGATTTATATTAGATTTCTTCAATGCATGTACCTTATTCTTAATTAAAATGAATAACTAAATGAATAAGAGAAAATTGATATATCCACTATATAATTGGAAGATCTATAATGTTATATTAATATGTTTTTGATTATAATGGTTTATTATTTTATATATTCATAAATATATATATAAAATGAAAAAATGGGATGATGATTTTCGTATGAAGAGTTATGTAAATAAGATTCAGAATGCAAAGTCTACAGTGCCTAGCAACCAAAAAAAAACCATAAAAAGTATGTATAGGTAAACACTATATAATAGAACAAATAAATAGGGATACGGAATTCAGTAGTCATGCATCTTATAGATCTGATTTAACTGATGTCAAGGAAAGTTTGTTGTTCAAGTAAGTTAAGGATATATTAATATTAGATAGTTAGTTGAATACAATTTATAATAATACACAAATAAATTATTATTGAGAGGTTATATAGGCGGATTATAAACATTAGCTCAATAACCTATAGAATCATAAAATCTAGTATTGCAAGAGATTAAATTACTGCCTGGGCATAAATAGAAATTTTAAGATTTGTTTAAATTTTTAAACGATCATTTTGATCCTCACAATTATAATGGCCAATCTTCCTTAACACCAATTAACAATAAATAAAACAGAAATACAATGCCAGGATAATAAAATTCTCATGGAAAATTTGAACAAACTAGAGATACTTATGTTGAAATACTAAAACCTGTTAATAGACGTTCTTCTTTAAAACATTTCTCACCTCTCTAAGATATAGGAATAATTAAACCAAGAGTTTTACCGAAATTAGAGAAACGTATTATAAATGGAAATAATGATAAAAGTCCTTAATTTAATGATACTTTATCAAAATAATTAATTCTCAATTCAGAAACCATTCATGGGAGTTCTTTATCAATAACTAAAGATATTCCTAAACCATTATCAAAAACAATTAATCATCCTGTTGTAAAAATTAAATAAACTAAAAAGAAGAAATCTATGATTAAGTAAAATAATGATAAAGACAATAAATTATTAAAGAAATTATTATAAATCAATTCAAAAAATAGTATTGGAGCAGAAATTCATTTATAGTAAGATTAGATTTAATTGATGTATTAATCATTTGATAATGGAAAATTAGCTTCAACTCTGATCAATATTGATATTGAAGAGATTAGTTATTGTGTAGGAATTACTCTATAAAAAATGATATCAGTTGTTGATTTAGAGTAATAGAGATATCTCGAAAATGAAATCTAAGAAATTCAGTAAGCAATTTTTAAAGAGTCTGATTAATATTAGGAAATAGAATCCAGATGTATTAATTCATAATAATCATAATAATAGTAGATAGAGATAAAGATAGTGAGGATTGTAGAGAAGATGAAAATAATGATCAGACAGTCAATATGTCTAAAGTAGATGAGACAATTTGTTAAGATTACTTAAGAGAAGCAATAATAGAACCTGAAATAACAGATTAATATTATGGTAATGAAGATGTTGCAACTGAATAGTTTTAAAAATTAGATCAAAGTGAATAATCTAAATTATAGACAGAATAAGAATAATAGGATTATATTTAAGATTAAGATTAAGATAATAAGTATTATTAATTAAAAATATTTTTATAGTTAGTAAATTTCTAAATCCTATTTTTCAGTTGATACAACTTATAATTTAGAAGATTATCTTTTGTTTAATAAAGTTTTTGTTGATAAAACTATGTCTAATTATATTCCTAATGTTGATATTATACAAAATTATTGTAAAAATATAATGACAACTACTAAAATGGAAAGAGAAGTAGCAATTATCTCAATGATTTATATTAATAGATTGCTAAATTATAATTAAGGCTTAGAAATTAATTGTTTAAATTGGCAAAAAATATTATTTACTGCATTAGTTATGGCATCAAAAATATGGGATGATGAATCTTTTGAAAATAATAATTTTGCAAAAGTGCTTCCCCAATTTTCAACTGTACAAATAAATGAAATGGAAAGAGTATTCTTGAAATTCATAGAATATCATCTCTATGTTAACTCTGGGGAATATGCTAAACAATATTTCATTTTAAGAACTTATGCTGATAAAAAATAAAGAAGTTATGCTCTAAAATAATTAGATATCTCAACTGTTTTAAAATTACAAAGAGGAGGTTAACAACAAATTTCAAAGCAGTAATATTTAAATACTTAAAATAAAAGCTTTTGAAGATTACTCTATATTTTAATTGTATATATATTTATTTTTTATAATCTTTAATAGAGATTTCTTTTTTTAATTATTATTACTATAATTCTATTCCTATTATAAATATCATTAAACTTTTTGGTTATTAATATATATCGACAGAATATACTTAATCATTAACATTTAAAAATCCATCATCATTACAAATTAATCAATAAAATTCTTAATAATAATATTTAGATTCAAAATCAGACAATTTAATTTAAGAATTTCTGCATTCTATTTATTGAACTTATTTACTCTTTTTATTACTTCTCTTTATAATTATTATATGATTTATTATCTATTTCATCAATTGACACTTTCTTAAATTTATTTTAGTATAATTATTTATATATAATCAATAATAATGGATAATACAGATTAAGTAAACTTTACTTTATTAGATTTTAGTCCATATCAGTTGATGAAGAATTTTGTGATAAAAATCTATTTAATCACTATCAAAAAACGAGAAGAGAAAATACAAAATAAAATCCAAAAATTCATCTTTAAGACTATTAACTTAATACTATTAACAGATATCATATAGGATATCTAGATCATCCTCACATTAAATCTAGTAAAATTATAATCCCTAATAAATACGAGCTCAAAACATTTCAATCAATAAGCTTCAATTAAAAAAGCACCACTTGTAGAAGCCAGTCTGTTAGGAACTCGAAAAAACTAAAGAGCCTCTCAACAGAAATTCGACAGTTTTAGATTTAAAGTCCAAAAATATGTTTTTTCAGAGGCAGTCAGGCTTAGGTAAACTTAAGCCGATCGTACAAAAATAAATGCTAGTAAATCCAATCTCTTAGACATAAAGATTAACTACTAAAAAAAATACAGAAACCCCTGTTATTGAAGTATGCAGCAATAATTTTACTGAACAAAAGCCAGCGTCTTTTCGTTATAATGATCTACAATTAAGTCAATATTTAGAAGAATTTAAATTGCTAAAGTAAGAAACTCTTACAAATGTGATATTACCTCATATCTCATATAAAACAAATAGAAACTAAAATAATCACACTTAAACAACAAATAGACAATAAACTAATAATAATTATTATAATAGTATACTTTAAAAAAATAAAGTTAAATAAAGATAAACTCATATAGAATCATAAAAACAGAACCTAACTCTAAGTGGATGGAGTGATTATTCAAACAAATGATTTATTTTCTATATTATTTATTTAAAGAAAAAACTTGATTGTTGAAATATTAATATATCTTCTTTTATTGGGAATTTATAGGTGTTTCCAATTATTCATAAAATCATTAAAAAAATAATTTATTATAATGAATCCAGCTTAAAGTATTGCCTAACAATTTCTATAATAATACTATTAGACATTAATGACTAATAAAATGGCTTTGATTTAATTTTACACAGATGCATCTATAATGACATATGGTAACATATTTTTATTATTATCATTAAGGTGGAGAACTATACAATGGTTTAAAAGCAATTAATGAAAAATTAGAATCATTAGCATTTCAAAAGATTGTATATAAAATTGACGACATGGATGTTTAACCAGGAGCAGTTTAAAATTCTTTATTCCTTTTTGTTACAGGTTCATTACAAATGGATGATTCAGATTCATTTAAATTCTCTCAGAGTTTTCAGATCCTTCCAAATGGTTAAGGAGGATTATACGTACATAATGATATTTTCAGATTGGTTTATTGAAATATTAATAATAAAATTATTAAAAATGGGATTTGAAGATTAGATTCCACCTATTCCAAATAGAGATCAAGAAAAGAGATACATAGCTACAGTTGAAAAGTCTTTCTATGATCAACCTCTTTATAAATTTTATATGAATGAAGCATTAAGAGAAAGAAAGATGGATTATGCTGATAAATTGAATACATTTAAATATGAATGGATTCTCAATTTTGCTGCATCTGGCATAGTGTTTAGCTTATTATATGTAAGAATATTATCATTTTGATTAGTTTATTCCTGTTTCTTATTTTTACAGATAAACAACTACAGGAGTTCCAACCTATTATCAGTATTATTTAATCTTAATATCTTAGACCTAAGAATAAAGCAGTTTTCAAATAAGGATATTTACAAAATCAAAATTGGAAAAGATTCAAGTTATATTCATTCTTAGTTTTTGGATCAGCATTCATTTTTGCTCATACTTATACAGATAGATCATAAATTCATGATGAATATTACAATAATGTTGGAGTCATTAAGCCAAAATTTGAATGAGATAGTATTAAAATAAGAATAATAAAATTATAATAGTATATTGTCTAATAGTATTTATATAATAATTAATTTCATATATTTATATATGCATCATTATATTATAACTTAAAAATGAAAAATGCATAAAATTACTAATGATTAAAGGTAATATTACATAAAACTTAATAACTTTTATTCTTACTCAGTTGTATAAAATATATTTATTTTCAAAAATTGTCATAGAAGTAAATTCTATTGTCTATTTTAACTTATTTATTTGAGAAAATCTATTGTAATTAATTCCTTTTTTAAAAAAAATAATAATAAAATTCAAATTAATTATTAATGAAATCAAATAAAGTAGCTGTTATAATAACTCTTAATTAATTGAATTCACAAATATAGTCATATATCTTCATATTCAACATATAAATAAATACATTAAACATTAAATTGTAAATATTATAATTTATTTTAATATTCTAATTATATTATTTATATTATTTAATATAAATAAATCACCTATATATCCACAATTTTAATGATAAAAGGTATAAATATAGTAAACTAAATACGAATATCTTAGATTTAAAGGATATGATCACAATTTATTGGTTTGCTTATTGAGAAAAGTAAGAGAGGAAAATAAATAAATAATAAGAAGATAATATTGAAGTTAAAAAGAAGTTTAGAAAGAATAGAATAGATATTATGTTTGTAGTTATTTTAATTAAAGCTTAGATAGATAGATAAATAAATTATATAATATTATAAATTATTTAAAATGTCTGTCACTTTACATACTAGTCATGGTGATATTAAATTGGAACTATTTTGTGAATTAACACCTAAAACTTGTAAGAACTTTTTAGCACTATGTGCAAAGAAATTTTATGACAATACAATTTTCCATAGAAATATTCCAGGATTTATTATTTAAGGAGGAGATCCTACAGGTAATTTAAATATTGGATTTAATATTTTAGGTACAGGAAAGGGTGGGGAATGTATTTATGGAAAATATTTTGAGGATGAAATTGTTCCAGAAATTAAACATGATAGAAGAGGAATAGTTTCAATGGCAAATGCAGGAAAGGATACAAACTAATCACAATTTTTCATTACCTATTCTAAATAGAATCACTTAAATGGTCTGTATACTGCATTTGGTAAAGTAATATATGGATGGGAGACTCTAGATCTAATGGAAAAGGAAACTGTAGATAATAATTACAAACCATTGAATGAGATTAAAATTTTCAAGACTACCTTACATGCAAATCCAATAGCAGACATCGAATAATTTTGAACAAATTTAGATATATCATTATTGGTAATCTGAAACAGATGGACATTAACATATAAGATTTCTATCTCCAAAAGCATTATTAATTCTGCTTACTGTTGGCCATACTTTGCCTCTTTGCATAACAAATGGCAATGGGAAAGCAGCTTCTTCTCTAGAGTATTTATGATTCCAACCACTATTGATCACTTAATCTTAAGTATGAGGAGCATTTTTCAATGGATTATCATTTTTATCATATTATCCATTTTTGACTTTCTCAATTTCTAATTTAATATTTTTCATTGCTTCAATAAATCTATCTAATTCTGATCTATTAATTAATAAATATTATATATATACTTAGATTCACTTTCAGTTGGTTCAATCATAAGTGTTCCTGGTACTGGGAATGACATAGTAGGAGCATGGAATCCATAATCCATAAGTCTTTTTGCAATATCTTCTTCAGTAATTCCACTTTCTTATTTTATAGGTCTGATATCAATAATAAACTCATGAGCACACATTCCATTTTATCCAGTAAACAATACTTTGTAATCATTTTTTAAACTCATCATCAAATAATTAGCATTTAACATAGCCATAGCTGTACATTTCTTTGCACCTTATCTTCCAAGTTATCCAAAATAACTATAAGGTATTGGGATTATAGATGCAGAACTATATAAGGATGAAGCTACACTTCCTAATGAATATTCTCTACCTGGAAGATATGGTGCCAATTTCTTATTAACAGCAATAGGTCCTAATCCAGGACCACCTCCTCCATGTGGAATAGAGAATGTCTTATGTAGATTCAAATGACAAACATCAGCTCCTAAATATCCAGGAGATGTATATCCTACCTAAGCATTCATATTTGCACCATCCATATAAACCAAACCTCCATGATCATGAATCAATTAAATAATCTTTTTTGTTTAATCTTCATAAACTCCATATGTTGATGGATAAGTAATCATCATACATGCCAAAGATTTCTCATTTTCTTTTATTTTCTTATTCAAATCATTCAAATCAACATAACCATCTATTACATTAACTGCTACAACATTTAATCCAGCAAGAACAGCTGAAGCAGGATTAGTACCATGTGCAGATATTGGTATTAAACAAATATTTCTATCCTTTTGTCCATTCATGATGTGATATTTTCTAATGCATAATAAACCTGTATATTCTCCTTAAGCACCACTATTTGGCATTAATGATACAGCTTCCATTTATGTAATATCACATAACCATTTTTCAACATTTTCAGTCAATTCTTAATATCCTTAAGTACAAGACAAAGGGGAAAATGGATGTAATTGAGAGAATCCTTAAAAGGAAACAGGCAACATGAAAGAAGTAGGATTCAATTTCATGGTACAACTACCTAATGAAATCATAGACTTAGCTAATGAGATATCCTTCTATCTTAAATAGTTGATGTATCTCAACATTTCTGTTTCGCTATGTAATGTATTGAAGACTTTTTATTGCATATAAGGTGCTCTTTCAGATTTATATGGAATAACTTTCTGAATCACTGACATAAAATCTGATTTTTTCTTTGTGTAATGTTGAAGATGGTTGAATAGATCTTCTACATCTTAAAGTGTATGAGTCTCATCAAAACTAAAGATAGTGTCTTATCCAATTTTTCTGACATTAATTTGTGCATTGTAATGTAAATACTCTTATAAATTTTCTGTATTATGTAAAACTACTGTATCAAAGATTCTTCCTTCTTTAACAACTATTCCTAAACTTTTTGCTAATTTAGCAAAGCTTCTAGCCAAACAATTGACTCTATTAGCTATCTTCTATAATCCCTAAGGACCATGATAAGTTGCATACAAACCAGCCATATTTGCTAATAATGCTTAGGCAGTACAAATATTGGAAGTAGCTTTTTCTCTTCTAATATGTTATTCTCTTGTTTGCAATGACATTCTATAAGCTGATCTTCCATTGGCATCTTTTGATATACCAATAATACGTCCTGGCATTTTTCTTTTGAATTCATCTTCAACAGCAAAGAATGCAGCATGTGGTCCACCAAAACCCATAGGTACACCAAATCTTTATGAATTTCCATATGCAACATTTGCTCCTTAATCTTTAGGTGTTTTATTAATTGTTAAACTCAATAAGTCTGTTCCTATAACTTTTAAGAGTTTAGCATCTTTAAGAGTATGTTTGAATAGATCACTCCAATCATGGACTTCTCCCATATTATCTGGTGATTGTACCAAAACACCACAATATTAATCAGCATCTTTGAAATCATAAGTTTTGGCATCACCAACAACTATATCAATTCCTAAATAATATGCTTTAGTCTTGATGTGTTCAATGCTCTATGGAAATACATGGTTATCTACAAAGAATTTCTTTTTCTCAAACCAAGAATTTGCCAAGAACATTGCTTCTCCTGCAGCTGTTGCTTCATCCAATAATGAGGCATTAGATACATCCATACCAGTCAATTCAGTGATTACTGTTTAATAATTTAGAAGAGCCTCTAGTCTACCCTATGAAATTTCAGCTTAATAGGGAGTATAGGATGTATACCATCCTGGGTCTTCAAGTACATTTCTCAAGATGACATATGGTGTGTGAGTACCATAAAAGCCTTAGCCTATATAGTTTTTGTAAATCTTGTTCTTATTGGCTAACGATTGAAGATGCTAGATCATTGATGATTCAGGTATTGCATCAGGAAAATTGTCTGGACTTTAGAAGGCTGCCTCACTGCGAATCTCCTTTGGAATAATTTTATCCACGAGCTCATCGAGTGAATTGGCATTGACTGCTTTCAACATCTCTTTCACTTATTAAGGCTCAGAGCCTATAAAACGTTGTTCCTAAATTTAAATGGAAGCCATACAATGTAGTCACTTGACTTGAACCAGTCAGGAATTTTGGGATTGACTTCGTGAGGATTGGCCAACCTGCTGAAATTAGCAACACGTTGAATTAATCTTATAGATCTAAGCATTTAATATTTAAAAATGACGCAGTACTCTTTCCTGCATTTATTTATATACATATATATATATATAGAAAAACTGTTATAATGCATTAAAGAGTACTAGCAAATGAAAGTCCATATCACAGGTAAATCTACGGAAGACCTCGACTTTAATCACAAGATCCAGGTCGTAGAGTCCTGACAGAAACTGATACTAAGACTAATATTTCAAGAAAATTCACCAAATTCGACTTTGATTCTGTTCTAACAATAAGAACAAGTAAGGGAAGTAAGAAGTTTAAGCCGCAACGCTTTGAAGTTAAACCTATTGTAAAGTATTTGTGCAAAGCTAGAAAACTGAAGTGGACTCAGATTTGGAGACTTATTAAAGAATGGTTCTAGCCAAAATGAAAGAAAAGAATATATTACCAAAATAACGTTCATTAAGCAATGCTACACCATAACAAAAGAGCTAAGATCGTTATGCTTCTTTGGATTCATAAAATAGAATCAACAATAAGTAAACTCAGAATGTACATCCTAAGATTTTGTGGGATATGTCAGAGGAAGAATGGTAATAATTTGGGGATCGCTTTCCCTAACACTTTGAAAAGAAGAAGCTACTTGGAAGAGGAGGATTTTCATTAGTATGGTTAGGAGAACATAAAAGAACCAAAGAAAAGTTTGCTATTAAATAAATCCTCTCTACCAATACTCATTAATCTCATATGAAAGAAATTTGGTTTGGAATACATTTCTTTTAAGATGGTTAACCAAAAAAACAATTTACAAATTTTCCAGGATGTAAGAATTTAGTACGTTTTCTTACCTATGACATCAAACCATAAGACACTTGGATATTTTAAGAAATTTGTGGAGAAAGTCTTGGTAATCAACTATATGATCTTAAAGGAAAGAATGTTAATAATGAACGCATGTATAGGGTAGATACACTTCATTCTATTTTAGTTAACTCATAAACCACTTTATAACACTTTTCGTAAAGATTAAACTGAACTCAAAAAATTAATTCGAGAATTAGCCTAGGCTCTTGATCTTCTATAGGATTAAAGAATTGTACATTCTGATCTTAAAACTGAAAACATTTTAGTTAAGAAAATAAAAAATGAGAATGATTTACATGAACTAACTTAAGTGAAATTGATTGATTATGGTAGTAGTTTTCCTTTTGATGATTTAAAATAATTTTCAATGGCTACACCAGAGTAATTCATTCTTTTTTTATATTAGATATATGTGTCCAGAAATATTAAATTATATCTTATATGAAAATTAAATGAATTACCGTCCTTGTTTGATGAAATATTTAAGAAATTATAAGAAACCTTGGGTAATTGATGTTTGGTCTCTTGGTTGTGTTGTACTAGAGATTATATCAGGAATACCTCTATGGATGAGTCTTAAAACTATAGTTACAAAAAATGGAAAGGAAGTAATAGATTATGGATTATTTGCTGTAAAGGGTAGAGTTTTTGATAAAATAATTGATCGTTAAATGGAAGTTATTTAAAATTTAGATAGTTATATAGATAAAAATTATTCTGGTAATATAATAATGTATTATAATTTAATTAGGATTAAAAATTGATAATTAGATTCGATTTGTCTTAAAAGAAATGTTAAACTTAGATCCAGAGAAAAGATTATCCCCAAAGTAAATAATTGAATACTTATCCACCAAAAAAGAATACCTTATAACTCAATGATTTATACTATTAATAATTCAAAAACCCTCATCTCTATGAATTAAATTTGAAAATAATTTTAGATGTCTTGAATTTTTTTAATTAATATATAATGAACTCAGTATCCACAAACACTTCATTAACAGATATTAGGGTTGTAAAAATCTATTTTAAAATTCATTACAATACTGAATATGGATAAGCAATTTACTTATGTGGTGACGATGAAAGGTTAGGATTTTGGGATTCTACTAAAGCAATAAGACTATAATGGAATGAGGTATAGTATTGAAGTTCAAAAAGAATAATGAATGGACTACCTGTCTAAGACTTCCAAGAATTTGTAAAAAATTTGAGTATAAATTCCTTGTGAATGATTATCATAATCCATCTAATGAAAAAGAAATTTGGGAACCAGGAGAAAATCGTATTATTACTAAGCATTTATTATTAAATGGAAAGAAAGGGGAGTACTTTAATTGTAATAGTTCATTAAATTATTGTAGAGGAGTATTGGGGATATAGAACAATCAAATTAAAACTCAATCACAATTTATAACTTGGAGAAAGGATGATGATTATAGGTTCAATACCAGAGATAGGTTCTTGGAAAACACCTGTGTTAATGAAATAATAATAGAAGATTGATATATGTATTACTCAATCCATAATTCTGAAATAGTAACATAAGAGCCTATTTAACAATGGTCCATTTCATTTATTGTAAATCCTCTTAATTTCTATTTCCGATATTATTATGTGATACGTAACGATGAAACTGGGAATATGATATGGGAAAGAGGGAATGGACGTTATCTTAAAACTGCTGATCTCTCTTCTCTTCGATAGGTACTTGATTAATTTGCATTACATCCAATTAAAGTTAAAACTCAAATCTATACAGCATTTTAGACTAAACCATAACATAAAAATGGTTCATTTTCAGCAACTAAGATTCCAAAATAAAAAATAAAAACTAATAGTTAAGGATATTAATTTGCAGATAAAGAGCCTTCTTTTTTTTATTATGAAGAATTTGGTAGGTTGAATAAATTAGATTGGAATTTTGTTGTTTAATTTTAGACTTATGAAATAAATGAAAATATAGTTATTGGTCCTTATCCATAAAATGAATAAGATATTTTATTATTAAAAAATAAATAAGTGAAAGCAGTTCTAAATTTATAAACTCGTTTAGATATGTTTCATAGAGGAGTTAATTGGGAATAGATAGTTGATGCTTATAAGAGATAGAATATAGTAATGAAAAATTATTAAATTTTTGATATGGATGCAGCTGATTTTGAGAAGAAATCTAATAAAGCTGTATAAATTTTGAAGAAATTAATTAATGAATATGAATATGTTTATGTTCATTGTACTGCAGGAATAGGAAGAGCTCCTTCAATTGTTGTTTTATATTTAAGTTCGATACTTTAATATGATCTTAAAGAAGCAATAGAATTTGTTAAATAAAAACGATAATAATTTTATGTTAATTATTGTAAATATAAATTATATTATTAGCAATGCTAAAAAAATCATTGTAGAAGACTCTTGTGTTTAATCATGGATTGGGTTATTAAAATTTGGCTTAAACTTTGTGAAGGATGGAATAATAATTTATATATAATTAATTATAATTTGTAATTTCAGGCCAAACTTATTCAGTCGAATTGAGATTTATATATTATCTTAGAAATTTATTAATATCCCAAACCATTTATAAATATTAATTTGTTTAAATTTCATTTAATTATTAATGATAGATATGGAAATAATAGACACTTTTTAATGCTTAATTTCATTCCAGGATTAAGATAATTATTCACATAAAGCAAATTTACAATTTACAACAACCAAAATAAATCTAATTTTGAATACTCAGTGTTTTGAAATAGAAATATCATATAAACTTTAATTAAAATGGAAATGTGAAGAAAATAAATTGATTTCAATGCATTTTCAATAATTTACTATTTAGGCTGGAAATGAAGATCTCCTTAAATTTAAGAAACATTTAGATTGTTAAACAACATATATTGGAATTCGAGAAATTTATGATAATGTTATATTAATTTAATAAACAGACATTGCTAAAGTAATTGGATAAATAATTATTGTAGATATGCTCACTTAAAAGTAAATTAGATGGGAAAATGTATATTTGTAAGTGTTATAAAAAATAAGAAGTTGAAAAATATAAAATTTATGAACAATTAATTATTTTACGTAAATTAGGTGATTTTAAGAATGTCGCTTAAATAATAGATTTCTATGAATCATCTAATTCCTATTATTTTATTTTTGAATAGATGAATAGAATTCATTATAGTAGTTTAAGTCATGAAGATATATAATCTATGATGTTTGTATATTCAATTTTATATTAGGATATTTTATGTTGTGTAAAAATGTTGATATTGAATCATGTATTTCATTCCTAAATAAATTTATCTAATATTGTAATAGATAATGATATGAATTGTAAACTTGCAGGCTTTGAACATGCAGAGTTATTAAATGAAAAGAATGCTATTTATAATTCTTTAATGTTAACAATGGTAGGACATATAATGATCAAATTGTATCAAATTAATAACTTATATAGATATCAATACAATTCCAAAAATAAGTAATAAATATTTATTCCTGATTATGGTAATTCACTTGTTTAAGGATTATTGGAAACAGATTTGAATTAATAAATTAATATTGAATAAGCATTAAGTCATGAATACTTTGAATATTTTGATTACAATTCAAGTCCCATGATGTAATAATAGATTGTACCAAAATTGAAATCATTCATTACTTAATAATCTCTTTCATCACCAATAGAAAGCAATAACTGATTTTTATATTTTACTTTTTATAATTTAATCTTACTCAAAAATGGAATGGAATAATAACAAAAGAATTGAAACTCCAATTGATGGAATAAGTAATTAATCTATAAGATTATTTGTAACAATCAGAAAGGATTCAGAATCAAATGTAGAATATAAAAAAATGACAGTAATGGCACCATGTATATTCCTTTTAAATTATCAGTGAGCATTAAGATTTCAATGTTAAAAAGACATATTGAAAGAGAATTTGCAGATCTCTTTCCACATGAACCTACCTTTGTATGTGCTAAATTAGAAGATGAATTCGGTTATAGTTTATCCAATGCTTCTATAGTTAGTGAATTACTAAAAAATTCTGATAGATTATTTGCAATTCCAGAATCATTTACAAAAGATTTAATTGGTAAGATGCATGTTACTCATGATTTGAATGAATTAACATTCATGTTAAAAAGCATTACCTAAACAATCATAGCAAAATTAGCTGGTATATTATATGATTACCTCTATAGAGGCTGAATTAGGATCACCTGAAACTTAAATGGAAATTATGTAATTAATAGTCCCTGTAGGTTTTTCCTTATAATAAAAAGCAATTAATCATAACACAGCTCTAACATTAAAAAGAATATTTGAAAATGAAAGATTACAATTTCTAGATGATCAATCATATGCATTAATATCTTAATTGTTGATTAAGTTACTCTAATTTTGGACTAATGACTTAATCTTTTAAGATTAATTTCTTCTTAATTTAACTGTAGATCTATTAGAAATACTTACCAAAAGTGGTATCTATATTTCAAATCTCTAAATTAGCTGCCTTCTCCACTTCTTATAAAACTCCACAAATAGTAAATAGTCTTATGTCTGTTTCCAAATTAGATTTTGTTAGTGCTTAAACAAGATCTAGAATAATTAAACTTATCTCATTTCTATCCAGACCATAATTTACTAATTGTTATTAACCCAGATCATATGATGGTCCTTTAACACTTAATTTACCTCCATAACCAAAAAGAAGAAATGAAGAATATGTACCTACAATTCTAGAATAACCAAATAGAAATTCAAATAGAAGATAAGGAAGTGCTGGTACTAGAAATTTAAATACCTATGAATAATAATAAGATTTTAATCAATATCCTTATAAATACAATAATGATTCAAATTAATATCCATATAGATAAAATTAAACAAATCAATAAGAGTTCAAATAAAATGATTCTAATCAATACGGTTTCAAATAAAATGAATCAAATCAATATTAATAACCAAATATATCAAAAATACCACCTACATAATAATTTGGATATTAATCTTAACCCTTATAATCTAATTATCCACCTGCTCCATAAAATCCTGTCTATACAAAACCTTAATTAAATATAAACAATAGACCTCAAAGCAATAGAACTCAATATGTTGGTAATATGTAATAATAAGTCTTTGATGGATTAGTATAAGATTATTTAAATTTAATTTCTACAGAATCAAATGAAGAAATGTTACAATTTGCTATTTAAAATTTAAGTGATGGAATTGATACAACCATACATCAAATTATGGATAGTTCAGAAGCATTTTAAAAAATTGTCAATTTATTAGAAATTGCAATGAGTCCAAATTATTTGGGAATGTAGTTAAGAATATTAGAGGCATTATCTAAAAATATGAATCAAGAAAGAGCTAAAGAAGCACTTAAATTAAAATTAATACCAAGAATCATGAAAGCCTTTACTTATTAACCTAAAGAATTTTAACCAATATTGTATGATATGTTATCAGCTACACTTAAATTATCAGATTTTTAAGTTGATGTTCTAACTGTTATCAGTATGATTGAATCAGCATATCCAAGAATATAGATGTTGGGAATTAAAATACTTTCATTAATGTCTGATCCATAAAGACTCTAAAATACTAATAATGTATCAATTTAATTTGAAAATTATATTAAAAGTTTAATGGATTGGACATTAGATGGATAGAAAGGAGAGGAATTCTAATATAATGCTCTTTAAACTTTATCAAATTTGGCTATTAATGATTACATTCGACCCTAAATACTACATCTAAAGGGAATTGAATTCTTCTTAAAGGTTTTAAGAGAGAGCTATAGAGTTGATGCGTAAAGATTAGCTGCTAAAGGATTATTGAATTTATCAATAAAATCAAGAGAAACTAAACTATCTATTGTATCTTTGATGGAAGAGGAAATCTAAAGATTATAAAGAGGAGAGATGGACACTGTAGTTTAAGGATATTTAACAACCTTATTAACAACAAGAGAAAGAGGATAGTTGTTATGATTTATATTCACACAATAACTAAATATTTTTTTGGTATTCCAAGATCAAATAAATTTGTTTGAATTTCTTCTTCAAATTAAGGACTGCCACAAATATATACCTTTGTTGGTTTGAATTTTATGTGTTCCTTCATATATTTAAGATCGAAATATGATTCAACCATATAAGTTGTCAATTCTTCTGGAATATTACTTCGATCTTTGATTAATATTTTAATATCAAAAAAATCTAAATGAAAGGTTTTACAAATAAATAATAAATCCTAAATGATTGGAATTCCATAAAAGTGAGCAATATCACTAATAGCAACATGAATTATTAACTAAAAATCTTAACCTAAGGTTGTTAAGTATTCCTCATTATTATCATTTATACAATCAGCTATTTCTTTACTTCTTTAATCATGTAGAATTGTATAGATAGCTTTTCTTAAAAGGTAATCAATCAAATCAAGAAATGGTAAAATTCCAGTTCCTTAAACAAAAGCATAATGAATTCCATCAGATAGAGGATCTAATTCCAATCCAAAACCATAAGGTCCTGTTATTTCATATGGTTTATGACCTGTACAATGAAGAAAACGACTCATGTTATTTGAAAAATCACATTTCTTTATAACAAAGTTAATTTCATTAGATAAAATTATTTGTTATTTTGGTATATAGGCTTAGTAATCTTATTCTATGACTTAAGATTTGAAATAGTCAAGTATTTATTATCTCTTGAGAATAGCAGATTGAGTATATGACATAACTATTGAATAAGGTCTTTCTACAAGATTAATACCAGTTCCAAAAGGTTTGATATAGAAGTAACGACCAAACCATTAAACTCCTTTTAAGAATTATCTAACCTAAAAGAAATGACTTTTGAATATGAATAAACCAACATCTGAAGCAAATGGAATATATTATTCAAATTTCCAAACATATTTATCTATTTAAGATGTGTTTTCCTCATAATATAATAATGGACAATTATCATTTCTGTAATCTCCTAAATACCTAGTTTCAATATAATTTATAGCAAATTAAGTATGTATATGCATTTTGATATTTAAGTTTTGAATTGGGTATCCTCCATAAAAGTATCTACCAATTTCTCTTCCTGTTATTCTTTCTAAAATGTACTAACCTCCTGGATGATTAAAATCACTTACATCATAGATAGCTTCTCTAAGTATAATATAATTTAATTTCTAATATTCTTTGACTAATTAATTTCTAGATACTAATTTATAACATAGAATTTATACTATTTTGATTGATTTTGTCAATCAAATTTTCATAGATTTAGTTCTTATCTAATTCTACATAAGAGTAAGTGATTCTCCGTCTTGGAATAATTGACACTTCATAATGATAAAGTATCTCTATTGAAATTTTTGAAAAGAATAGAAACACATAGAAATAATAAAAGGGAATTCTATTTTGAATAATGTAAAATTTTACAATAAATCAGGTCTTTGTATATGAACTCCCATAGCTACTTATGCCTTAGTAACTAAATAAATGAAATAGCCTAAGTAAAAATGAATTCTCTTAATTTTATAGATTTTATTGGAACCATTCAAAGATTCTAGATTATTTTTGACAATCATTCCCATCATCAATTAAAGTAGTAGAAAACTTAGTATCAAAACTCCAATTATAAAATGTGCAATTATCAATCCATCATAATAATAAATCTCTTAGATTTTTAATTTATCTTTATTATTATATATAAAGTACTGTACTCTATTTTACTGAATGCAAAAATATAGGTTAAAATACTCTGAAATAAGAATATCATTCCGTGAACTTTAGCATACTTTGGATAACTTTTCAATTGTCTACCAAAGAATATACCAATATCTGACAAGAAACTCCAAAAAATAAATAGGAAAATAGTATGTCCTTAATCTGTAAATTGTTCATATTTCTCAACATAACTAGCCAAGTTGTATAAATCTACAGTAATTACTCCTCTATTGTAATTCTTATAAACGATTCCTTCTTTATTATAAACTATAAGATATCCTATATCAAGAGTTTGCTTATTAAATTAATAGTAATTTTGATTATCTATAAGTAATGTCCTAGTTATTTTTATTCTGATTGTTTCATTTATAATTGCATATCCTAAAATGTGCCAATTTTAAAATCCTACCTTTTATTCATCATAAACGAAAGAAGTAGGAGATTATCCAATATTGTCATTTACATACAAATTGTCATAGGTTTGATCCCATCGAAAGAAAATGATTTCTTTACCTGTAATATCATATTCATCATATGTTTTATTCAACTGATTTATTTTTGTGTAATCAAACACTATAGCAAATCTCTAGCAAAATTGTAATTCAAATAGCATAGTTATGTTAGAAATATCAAGTTCAAAGTACATAGTAAGATTTTTAGTAATTTTTACAAAGTTTTCAAGTTCTGTGATATTGTTTAGACAGGGTTCTCCATTACAATTAAATCTAGAACTCTCTGAAAAACAGTCGAATGAGTCTGTACATGCATATATGATAGGTAGAATGAGAAATAAAACTTTCATAATTTAAACAATTTATAATTCATTTTATTTTCAATAAGTTTCTTATTGCCTCTGAATTAATTGAATTATTATATCCACTCTTATTTAAACTATTATTATTATTTTTAGTTTGACTTCTGTTTGGTTATATATTACATATTTCTGCTAAAGTTTATCGCCCTTTCATCATATATTAACTAATTTAAATATTATTAGATCGTTGACTTATAGAGGCCTACTATTATTACAAGAGTTTATTGTATCTCTTAAAGAGTTCATCACATGAACTTCTTTGAGAAGTATAACCTCCATGTTGAGAGAATGAGGATAATTTCTTTGGAGAACATTATCTATAAGAAGTAGACCCATCATTACTCTAATCTTTTTTCTTTGATTCTGATTAACAACTATCATACTTGTATTCATACTTAAATTTCTTTAATTTAGATATACTCTCTTATAATCTCTTAATTTCTTAATTAGCTTCCTCTAACTTTGTTTATAACCCATCCTAATATAATTTCATCTATTGTTCTAACTAAAATTAATAATCTATTTATACACTTATATGATTTCTAATGTCTGCTTCCTATTATTATAATACAGATTCTAATTTCTTATATTCTAGATTACTGTTCCTCAATTATCTAAATAACTTGCTTAATCGCTGTATTAGATCTTGACAATTACAATTCTCTATTCCAAGTATCTTCTCATTACAAAATAACATTATCTGATATAATATGTTAAAATCTTAATACTTCTTCTAAAAGATTACGTAATCCTTATTCAACTTCCTATTTCTCATGTCTGTTCATTTAACGAAATTTATTAAACTAAATCCAATTATTTTTTAAATGGACGAAGAAGACTGTACTATTTTTATTGAAGAACTCAAAAGTGATGATCCCACTCTTAAACTTAATGCTGTAGACAAAATTGTATAAATTGCTCAAATCCTTGGACCTTCAAGAACTTGTCAAGAACTCATTCCTTATTTAATTGATATAATAGAAGAATAAGATAATGAAGATGAATTTCTTATAAAATTAGCTAAAGAATTAGTCAATCTTAAACCTTTCACAGGTGCCAATATTCATTTGTTAAATGCACCTTTAGAAATATTAAGTTCCATGGAAGAGCCATTAGTTAGAGATAAAGCTGTCGAATCTTTAATCTTACTTGCAGAAGGAATGCCAAACAGTAAAATACATACTATTTTATTTTAATAGGTTTTTTTGAAAATCACTTTTTTTAAATTGTTCAATAATTAGGTTAATGGGATAACTTTCCTTCCAGAATATCAGCTGCTAGTCTTCTTCCTCTCACTTACAAACATGTTTCATAAGATAAATAAAATATTCTATGGGATTTATTCAAATAATTATGTGGAGATGATACACCAATGGTTAGAAGAGTTTGTGCAGGAGTTTTGACTGATCTTGCTAAAATGAAATGTCAATCATAATAATTATTATAATTATGGGAAGCACTTTTAAAAGATCCTATAGATAGTGTTAAAATTAAAGCAATAGAAGGATCTCAATATATGCTCAAATTGATTGATGATGAACATGATTTAGAAACATCAATTTAAGGATACTTTGCTTTGGCTGATCCTAAAGAGAAAAGTTGGCGTGTCAGATATACTGTTCCTGAATGTTGGGAAAGTATCATTGACATAATTGTTAAATTAAGTAAAAGTTCTTTTAAAAATCTAAGATAAAAATAAAAGTATATTAAAAAATCAAGCAGTTCCTGTGTTTTAGTAATTGCTTAAAGATACTGAACCTGAAGTAAGATCTATGGCATTAATATCTATATATCATTTATTAAAAGAATTACCTACTTCTAGCAAAGATTTATTCTTACCATAATTTTAAGCTCTCTCTACAGATACATCATAACATGTTAGGATGTCTTTGGCAGAATAAATTTGTAAGATTTCTAAATAATATCATGTTTAAATTGTATTATAAAACTTTATACCTTTAATATCAACTTTGATTAAGGATGATGTTGTGGAAATCAAAATCATGTTAGCCCATAATTTAGATTAATTGTCATAAGCAATTGGACAAGAAAATTCAAAAAAACACTTAGTTCCATTGATATCTACATTTGCATCAGAGAAACAATGGAGATACAGATTAGAAATGATGTCAATTATACCCAAACTTCTTAAAGTGGCAGGATATGACAGTTTCTTAGAATTATAAGAAATTTATATTGAAAAAGGTGTTATGAATCATTATTAAGCAATAAGAGATTAGGCAATAGAAAATCTAATTTAATTGAGTGAAATATTTGGATATGATAAGATCAGAGAATTTATTTTAAAATGTATTAATAAACAATTCGAATAGTAAAATTATATATATAGAGTATCAGCAATGCATAGTATAGCAAAATTAAAGAATACATTATCAAAAGATGATTTAGTAAATTAATTTAAAGTATATAATATATACTATTAATTACAAAGGAAGTAACCTAGAAGTCTTTGAATGATAAAGTTCCTAATGTTAGATTAAACATATTTAAATTATTCACAGCAATTCAAAATAAATTAGACAATAAAATTTAAAATGAATTTAAAAATAAAGCTAGAATTTTATAATAAGATTAGGATATTGATGTTAAATATTTTGCATAAAAAATTTGATTGATTTATATATGTTTCAATATCATAAATTTTGATATATAGATCATTTCTATTAAATTTCAGTTTTTGATTCACTTTCAAATGTATATTAGAATGCAATAGGATTTGTAGCAGTAGATAACTTTTTCATATAACCTAAAGTAGTATTTTAAAGAAAATTATCTCCTTTTATGCCAACAAATGATGTTGATTTTCTATAGTTTCTGTCTGTACTTTGACATACTCTCAATACTTAAGATGCAGATTTTTCAATTTTTTATCTTTTGGTTCTACTTGTTAAATATATTTTAACATTCTAAAAATACAATTGTAATTCATCTTACTCTTTTTTAGTAGGCACAAACCATCTAATAAATATAATATATTAAATACTTAGGTTAAGAAATATTGCAATTTTTGAAACAATTACTAATGGATCCAAATTATCTCACAGAAACTGTTAATTTATTATATTCATTAAAAAGTTCATAAACTTGTAATGCTTATTTTTAATCAAGTTGTGTATAACACTCCATAAATTGTCGTATGAACCTACAATACTTAAAAAGAGAATTCATAAACCGTACCTTTCAAGCATTAAATACATGGCAATTACATCGTTCCATATTAATAAGTAAATCTCCATAACTACAGTTCTATTATGTAATTTTGATATATTGAAATATAACTAAAAATAGTATGGATTTATACATCATGTTAAGCTAAAATGAAATTTAGACAATTAATAGCTTTATAGAATTGAATAACTGATGAATCTATATCTTTAAAGAAAACTTCAATGTTAGTTTTTAGTTTGCTTCTATTAGATATTTCTTATATGCTAGATAATTTATGTATTATCATAGTTTGAATGCCTATGAATTTATTTAAGATATCATCTTTATTAGTATTATTAAGTGTCCAACCATTAAAGTAATTTAATTACTATACAAATAATCTACCATGTTTAACATCTCCCATAAGTACATGCATAGTAAGTAGAACTTTTAGTTTCTTATGATTGTCTATAGTTGATGGAATAAGTCTTAAGAATTCTCGACATACCTATACGATAGTCATACTTTAAACTAGTTAATCAATTTCAGATAAACAAGGAAATCCTATATTAATAGAATTAAATTTACCTTATAACATTTATTTTACATCTTCTAGATCAACAGTCTCCTGATTATCAAATATTGAAGATTCAAATAGTTTTCTCTCAAATCTTGATTATTTCTTAAAGAAGTTTTTTATAAACATTTTTAATATTTATATTTATTTATTTATTGTAATGATTGAATAAAGAACTGTTACAGAAACAAGTCAAGATGAAGAAGAATAGAATAAAAAGAAATTTATCTATTAAACAGAAAAACTTAAATTACTTTTATAAGTACCCATTGAATAAAGAACTCAACCAATTTGTAAGGATATTGCTGAGATTGCTCAAGTAAATCTCCTAAAATATTTATCTACTTTAGTAAATTAAATTCCTATCCCAATACAAACAAAAACCTGACTTCTTGGAATTATGTAAAAATCTCTATCTCAAAACATATGAAAAAAGATAATATATATTTAAATAAGGTGATTAGGGGGATGCATTCTATGTTATATTGAATGGAAGTGTTAAAGTTTATATAGATGAACCAACAGAATTTAAGAATTTCATGCAACTTGTAAGAATAGATTATTTTATATAGAAAGAAATAGCATAATTGGGTAAAGGTGATGCTTTTGGAGAAATATCTTTGCTTTATAATTCAAAGAGAACAGCAACTGTAATTTCAAATGAGAGAAGTGATTTAATAGTTTTAGAAAAAGATGCATTTTAAGAATATATGAAAACAATGGATAATACAAATGAAATGAAAACAGTTGCATTAAATAAATTACTTTAATTTTTAGAATCTCTTCCAGTATTTCAAATGTTTAATAAAGATTTACTTGTTTAATTATGTACAAAATGTTAAATACAAATGTATCCTTCTTAATAAATATTGTTAAAATAAGGTGTTGAACCAACATAAATGTATATAATAAAAAGTGGAAGAGTTAAAGCAATAAAAAAAATTAAATGGAATTTAGAAGATTATCCATCTTCATTAATAAGAGGTTAAACTACAAGCAGCACTGATTTATTTAATTAAGATGTTTATTTTGAAATTGATGAATTAGGAGATGGTGAAATCTTTGGTGATTTTGCTTTATTAAATGAAGAAGAATCATAATGTTCTTATATTACTTCTATACCTTCTGAGATTGTTTCAATTAGTTCATTTAATTTAAAAATGATTATACCTTCTGATAGATTGGAGGCATATTAAAAATAAATTAAATAATATCCTGAAGATGATGATCTTAAATTATTATATGAAGAGAAAAGAAATTGGAATTAATATAAAAGAAAATTGATAAAGAATATATATGTTGATAAATAAAATAAAAAGGGATTTGATAATAGATTAAGACTACCAGAATTAAAAGGTAAATCAGCCTTACCTCCTATTAATATTATTGATATAAAAACAAGTGATAATAGAACATATTTCAAATATTTAGAATCTAAAATATCTCCTATGGCTGAATGTAAAAAAAAAGTTTAATCTTTAACATAAGTTGGATTAAGTATGTAAGGTTTGGTGAAATAATTAGAATAAAGTACAAATCAATTAAGTATTGCAAATTCATTTTAGAGAAAATTAAAGAAACTCAACATTAATAGATCTTAATGAAATTAATCAATGTTATAAATCATAAAATGAAAAAGAACTTCCTGGTTATGTTGAATTAATTCTCCTATGATTCTATTATTACTATTTTGGCTAACCTATTTTACGAACAAAATCCTTGGTCCTTTGAGAATAGATTTTATTCTATGATTACACATTTTCTTAATCTAAATTTGAAGATTATTGTTATTATGCCTTTTTCTTTGGTTATTAAGTACTATTTATAATAATTTAATATATTACCATCTTTAAGAGTGATATTAATACAAAGATTCATTTTCTATCAAAAAAGATTAGTTAATTGTATGAGCAGTAATTGGAGATAATGATTATCCTTTATGTCCATTTGGAGAGTGAATCTTCATTTGATGTACATCCCATAAAACAGATTATTCTAATTCTTCTTAACTTCTACGTGTTTATTCTCTTGTATGTTAACTTCTTTTAGTATTTTTTAATATTGGACTAGTAGGTATAGTACCTGTAGGTTAAGTATATGAGAATGCAATTTCTCTAAATGCTTTATCCAATTATGATTTCTCAATTTTACAAATTGCTTATTCTAATAAAAATAATCCTGTTTATACTCTCTATTCAAGATGTCTTATATTTGTATTTCTACTTCTCCATAATTTAAAAAAAGTCTATTTTAATGATAATTAATTCTCTCTTTTAGATAATGTATTTTCTAACATAGCACTACTTAAACATTTTGATTTCAATGCATTTTATATTTACATATTCTATAATTCTAATTCATATTAATAAATTAATCTTTATTATTAATCTTATTCTTATTAAGAACAAACAAGTTCATTTCTTAATTGATCTAAAAACAAACCTTATTTATTTCTCCATCTATTAAAAAACTTAGATTTTATCTTCTATTAATATTATTCTGATCTCAATCTTATGAATTTAAAAAACTCTAAATATTTTTATCTTAAACTATTTATTCCATTAGTCAAAATTAAAGCTATCTTACTCAAATATTGAGTTTACATATTAGATGAAGTTATTAAAAATATTTCATCATTAACTTTCCAAATGTGTCTATTTTCAAATTCAATATTCAAATTATTTGTTAATTCTGTATTTAAATTTAAAGTTAATTAATAAAGAGTGTTGAATTATGATATATCATCAATATCTTCAAAATATTCTTATATTAATCCATATTCAGGTAAATATGAAGTCAATGACAATATCTCAATATTTAAAATAGAAACTGCTAATTTTTCACCCATTAATTAAGCTACTTATTATAAATACATTTCAATTGAATTCTCTGATTATAATGCTTATAACATTATAATTAAATCATCATTTCCAATTAATTACTTTATTGCATTACTCTTCATTCTACCTTAATACTTTTACAATACCATAAACAATTAAATTGTATAATTTCTTTGATTCTTTTTAACTTATTTGGCTGCTTAAAGAATTAATTTACAAATATTATTATTTACATTTTTTGAATTTCTTATAGAATAGTAAAATTATTTCAATCTTTTAAATCCAAATTATTGAATTAATCTTTTTAATTTTCTTAATTAATTTATAAACTATTTCATTCTCTAAATAACCATTAATCTTTTCATTCTTTATTATAATAATACAATCTTATTTATTTTATTGATACCCAATTCTAATTTACATTATAGATTATTAATATTCAATTAGATGTATTATTAAATCTATTTACAATATGAAGATTGATAATTTAAAGCATAAATTACTTTCCTATTTAAATGGGTTACTGGAATAAGAGTGAATTAATCATCAAGACTATAAATCTATTATTAAATTAAGGATTATTTAATTTATCTATAATCCACTTTTACATTTGATTATTAATTTTTTAATGTACATGATTAAAATTTTGAAATGTTAAAGTTATTTATTGATTCTCCTGTAATAATTTAATCATTTATATAATATTCATAATATCCACTCTCATTATTTTTTATTTATTAATAAAATTAAAGGGGATTTTTATATGGTAATTCAAATACATTCTTATAATTAATAGATTATTCAATTGATTTAGGTATTTATTAATGAGATGGTAATTGTTTAATAAAATTTGATGATTGTGTCTACATATAACTTCGTTTTGAATTTTATTGAGTTGGAGTTTATTATTCTAAAGTGGGAATAACAAATTCTTTAACTAATTATTCAACCAATTAAAACATTTATTCAGGTTCATTACTCTTCTTAATGGATTCTTAATCAATTGAATCAAATAAAGTAACCAATCTTTATTTATCTAATTCTTTAGTATTGGAATTTTCAATTAATGAATTTAATTATGCAAATATGGGTTTAAAAGTTTAATAGTAATTGAATTAAGGTGTTTCTTCCTTTTATTTTCTAATATCTTCCTTTATTGTTTATTAAGGAATTGATATTGAGAGTTTAAGATCCTATTGTCTTTATTATTTTTCAATCTCATCACGTCTTTTCTAAATGAGATTTTTCAATTAGCCAAATTCATTTTGCATTCTTGAACTAACCTTTTCTGTTTCCTACATTGATTTTTCAAAAGAACGATTATTAATGGATTTATCACAATCATTTGAACTAGTATGAAATGAGTGATTGCGTTTTGGACAAATTTCTCTAGGTCTAAGCATTTCAATTTCTCTTTTCTTATTCATTAGATCCCAATCATAATTAAATGATGCATTAAAATTATGCTTTGGAGGTAATTGAGTATTAAGTCTCATTTGAATTTAAATTATTATTAGTAACAAATAAATAATCATTCCTTCATAGAATAAAATCAATTCTCTAAACTAAAATGTATTATTAAAATAACACCTATAAGCTATTTGATATTATGATATATGTAATTCCAATAGAAATTATAGAAAATTATTTATTAAGTAAAAATAAATTTAGTTTCATATTATGTTTACCATTTTTAATATTTTTTAATTATAACATGAATCATTTAATTATTTATATGTTTTATATATTATTTACATACATATATTTAAATTTTAAGATATTTATTCTAATATAGAGTATTTGATACAATATAAAATAAATAGATTAAATAAATTTTTATATTCAATTCATAAATTGATTAATATCAAAATTCAATTTGAATATAATGTTGTTCTATTAGATATTTATATATATATATATAATAATGTCAGTTTTTATAGATTCTAATGATATCCTATATTTTAGTTCTGCAGATAGGGCAATCCTTTAGATTTTTACTGCATTTCAAACAAGCAGTATTATGTTTACAAGGCATATATAATGCATCACGATCATTTTCAATACAAATTATACAACTATTTTCGTGACTTCTATCAGCAACCAATTATGAAGTTCTTTTACATAAATAAGTAGATGTAGTTCCAATTTTAAAAACTGTTTAGTTTTATAATGGATATAACTATGAAGGTTAACCTTCTCTTGATAATCTTAACCAAGATCTAAATATTAATAAAATGAGATACCCATTTGTAGATCCCATATCTTCCAAATATACTCTACCATCAATCAAACAAATTTTGGCATGAATATTAGAAAGATGATGATCTTCACTAAAAGTAAGATCAGCAGTCTATTTTCTACCAACAGTTGTCACACTCTTTTAAGTTGTTAAATTAATCACATGTTTTTCAGGTGTATTTGGTCCTTCTATAATTGCCATTACAACCTAATATTCTAATGATATTATTACATCTATATTTAAACCATTTACATTCACTTATTAAATTTCAAATTAATTACTACCTAATTCAACAACCATTCCAATTTGTAATAATTATTTTGTTTCAACTTTAATAAAAGTTCCTGTAGTTGATCCTATATCTTTAATATAAAACTAAGTTAAATAATATAAATACTTCTTCATTTTGAAATATCACTTCTGCATGAAATCTACTAATACTCTCTTCTAATATTAAAATTTAATTGCTTGAATGTCTTCCAATTTTACCTCCTGATTCTTTAATACAATAAAAATTAGTTTATGGTCCTTCTGTTGGTTGTATGATTAATTCGTTTTATACTTTTGAAACAAATTTTTCTAGGTCTTATTCAATTAAAATGCCGGTTTATTATTTTTTTTAAAACTGAGGTTTGTTTTCACTTAATATTAAGTATTATTATTACATCTCACATAATGGTTATTAAAATTGTTATGAAAACATTTCATTATTCTTAAGATAATTAGTCATCATATCATGAGAGATATTAATCTATCCATATTGAGGTTATGCAGATTCAGTATTTTCAAGTGTAGCATTTTCTTATTCCATCTTTTCATAACGTCTGTCTTCGAAAGTAGTTGATTTTATATGAGATGCATATTCTTTTAGACCTGTTTTAAGCCCTTTCATTAATATATTGTATTTACAATGCATTAGCTTTTTTCTAACTATCTTATTTGTAATTCCTAGATCTTCTATTAAGTCATTTTCTTCTATTAACTCTAAACATGATCCATCGATTGAATTTTAAGCTACAATATAAGTTCATTAATATACTGAAAGTTGTCTATAGTTATTGTAACCCAACAAAATTGAGCCATGACGATACATCCTCTAAAGACCATTTCTTAGGTTCTTTTGGAAGAATTGTGAAGAGGGTTTCATAATCCATATTTTAAATTTAAAAGCACTAACTGAAAATAATTATTCACACATATAATTATTTCATCTTACTATATGACAAATAGACTAATTCTGGTATAACCATTGTATAATGATTACCACCAATAATTATCTTTTTATTTTCTAGTTCTTTCTCAATTTTTTACATTTTCTCAAAATATCCAGGTTAAAATTGAATAAAGTTTTATATCCAATCATTTTTAATTATCATTTTTGGATCTTAAACATTTATTCCTAAATGAGAACTCAATTCTTTAAGAATCTAATCATCATTCACATTTTTTAATGTCATCACAGTTAGACTAGTTGAATCTTTAGGATATTGCATTGGAAATTACAATGAATCTGCAAGCATTCCTAATATATTTTGATTCTAATTTGGATTTATTAAATATCCAAGACCTCTAAACTTAAATAATAATACTTTAATTACATCTTAAGGTAATATCTTTTAATCCCAACAAATATTTCTTGTTATTATAGAATTATTCTTTATCTTTTTTAAATCATCCTTTATCTAATTTAAATTTGAATTCTCTATCATAGAAACTATTTCTGATGATGGTACATTTAAAAATATGTAATCATATTCAATTCTTTTTATTTCTTTATTTTCATTTTCGATAATCAATTATTTTTATTCAATATCTATTTCTTTTCCTCTTGTATTCAAATGAATTTCAAAATCTTTTTCTTTTGTATTATCTTATAAATATCTTAATATTCGTTTTGGTAATGAATCCAATCCATAACTAAATCTGTAACTATTTGCTATTAAAATATTAATTTTATTTGATACCTTTATTTAATATCTTTTTCCTCATCTATTCAAATTCAACATCATAAATTAAATCCTTTTTTAATTGTAATTCATCATAAGAAGACATATAAACTTTTTAGAAACACATATTCTTTGATAATCTATATACAGATTCTCCAAATAATCCATAAAAAACTGTTTCAGCATATTTCTATGTTAAATCTTTACCTAATATTTCATCTAAATATTCTCCCAAATTATCAGATTCTTGCTTATTAAATAATATTTTAGGATATGCTTTGATTAAATTAAGTAATTCATCTTTCCCATTATCCTTAATAAATCTAGATATAGTTTTTAAATTCATTTGTGATGGTACACTCTTTAATGCTCCATTCCAATACAAATAATTATAAGGTTATTATATACTAGTCACAACTAAAAATATAACTATTATATACATTCAGGATAAAGACCAATTTTATCTATCATATAAAATAGAGGTCTATTATATTTTCCTATTTTAATTGAACGTGGACCCTCTTCAAATATAAATTAATTTTCTTTTCTTGTTTTTATTATTCCTCCTATTCTATTAGATGATTCAATTATAGTGATTTTGGCCTTAGGATACAATTACTTAATGAAAAAAGCATTGCTCAAACCTGATAGACCTGCACCAACAACTAAAAATTTATAAGACATTTTATAAAAAATAAAATTTCTGATTTTCATATATACACATGTAAATTATCATAAAAAAAAATATTCAACTCCTATTTATCATTTAGTTTTTATATATTTTAATGTATAAATAAGATAAAATTTAACACCCAACATCTCTTTTTTGATATTAACTTTTACTATATATATATTAATATTGAAAAATTACTATTAAATTTAAGACATTATATATATAGCTGGATCATACTTTATTATATGAAATTGTAGATTAGTAGATTAAAAATCCTTTTTAATACTACAATAAGATAATAAAAACAAAGACTTTTGTTTTATTTTAAAGATATATATATTTTATCATCTCATACAAAAATTCTTATAAATTAAATATAATTTTATATAATGTATATCTTTTTTTGTATTTTTAATATTGTATTAGTTATTGCAACTCTAATCAATATAAAAATCAAAGAATTTCTTTTAATTAATTTCACTAATAAGAGTTTGAATAGATAAAGATGATTAATAACATAATAATGATTATTATTAACAATATTTCGAGGTATAAGATCTTGATAAATAAAATCAATGATATTCTATCTATTATAATATTCCTTATTTATATTATCCTACTCTTATCTTGTATTCTTAATCAAATATTGTAGCTCTTCCTTCCAAATTACCATCTTTAAACATTCCGAATACTTTAGCATTTTTATAGTACAACACACCTTTTCCATTAAACTTATATTATTAATCCATTTATCCTTAATAATGTGTCCAATTCTTTTCCATCTAAGTAATGCTTTATTTATCGAAATACTTATTATTAAAATCTTTATTATATCGAATAGCCTTTCGAGTATCAGAATATTCTATTCTCTAAAATTATTAAAGCAAAACTGACTTTCTTTGTTGTAAAGCAGCAATCTTTTAATTAATAGATAAAATTTCATTTATAGTATCAGAAGATAATTATTATGATAATTACCTTTAAGTCTTTTGTATAGGCTCTACGAGAGTAGAAGGAGTACGAATCTTTTTCAAATTAATGGGGCTGATTTAAGGTTTTTTTATTGTTGAAACATCACTAGTTAATAAACTGTATTTCTCTGATGATTGTCTAGTTGTATCTAAAAGTGAAGGAGATTTTTTATGCTTAAACATTTAACGAACACAAATAATTAATATATAATTTTAATATTATTGTTTTTCAACATATCTAAATTGTATAATGGTATAAATATATATATATCTTAATCTAAATACTTAATTTTTATCAGATATTCTATAAATTCTTTATATTAAAATTATAAGCTATTAGAACTCTTTTCTGTTATTTGTTAAAGAGTTTTAGCACAATTTTGAAGATATTTTGCTGAATTTATTAAAATTAAAGAAAAAAACAAAATATTGATGCCAAAATAGCAATTGTAACCCAAAAGACCTTATTATAAGATGTCATTTTAGAGTAAGGAGGCTTTGAAAACTCTAGTATTCCAAAAAGGGTTTAGTATTAAATAAGTATTTGATTATGATTATTTTTAAAGGCGGCTCAAACTTTATCAATAAATTATACAAGTGCTAAAACAATTATTCTCCAATTTAGGGAGTAATAGATAAGAAAATGTATTAAATATTTATCAATGAAACCTTGTCTTGTTAAATAGGTTTCAAAAATTAAATATAACCTTAAAATTATTTCATAAACTGGTGGAGTAATAGTAAATGAAAAAATATATTGTTTAAGTTGATTGATGTAATGTATACATAATATAAACTATATTCATTTAATAAATAAATTAACTGATCACTCTTAATATGAATTATTATTAGTTTTGCTTTCTACTAATGGTTAATATAATCAATAAATAGAAGTTTGATATAATTATAGTGAATTTTATTTAAGTTTTGCTTCATTATGCAACTTTTGAGTATAAAAATAATGAGAAAGTCTAATTTATAATTATTGTTCATAATAAAAGAAGATATTTAATTTGACAAACATTGATTTAGTCAAATTAATTTGTTGTTCATTCAAAATTAAGATGCATTTTAAATATAAAAACATCATATATAATATTATAATAAAATATATATAAATATTTTTTAGTTTATAATAATTTAGTAAATTTTTGTATTTAATTAATGAATGATTAAATAATTCTTATAATAAGTATTTATAAATTATTCCTTTATTAATATGCATCAAATAAAAGATTTATTTCCCTATTTTTTATTAAATAAAAAGGAAGATGTATATAATTAAAAATAAATTAAACATCACATCAAAACTATGTCTAAGACTTCATCTAAAAAAAGATAATATGTCAAAATCTCAAAAAATGAAAAGCAATCCTTACTTCAATTAGTCTTCTATAATGGAATGAAAATTAGAGAAGTAATAACATTATTAACAATTAGGCTGCCTAGAAATTGAACTTAAAATATGCTGCTGCTAAAACCTTTGTTCTATAATTTAGAAAAAAATTAATAAGAAAAGAATTTAATTACGCTTCTGATAAACCTTGTTAAACTTGTCCTAGAAGAGATGAGAATACTACATTTAAAATCATATCATAGATTGGAGGAAAAGAAATCAGTTCAAAAACTTACATGTACAATTGAATAATATAACTAATGTTTGTAAATATTTATTATTATTTATAATGTTCTCTTAGACTTAAAGCTTTGATGATAAATTTCAAACAAAAAATTACTTTAAGCTAAAACTTAATCATCTAAAGTTGTAGTATCAGTTAAATATTCAATGAACAATAATTTAATTTCTATAACTTTAGAATGGTTAATATATATATTATTTGAATATCATAATAGATAAATCAAACTTAGACTTTGTTTGAAAAATTATAGAAGGTTAAAAAATGTATATAACAATTTAAATCATTTGATAATTAATTTAAGCTAATTAATAATCAAATCTTAAATTCTTTCTAGAAAAATTGTTTTAGTCTCTTATAAGTCAATGATAATAGTTTTATCTTCTTTATCAATATTAAATTCATTTTATATGTTAAGAGTATTACAATAATATTTGATGACACAATCGAAATTCTTTACTATTTTAATCTAATGATATTTGGATTAACAGTTTAAAATTAATAGAAATCATTGTCCTAGTAGTTATTAAGATGATATATATAAAAATTAAGGAATCAACAGTTTATTTTTTAACATGTACTAATTAACTTCTTATGTCATAATTGTATTTTAATACTTCAAATTATAAATCTTTTGTTTATAGTGTAAAAAAAGATAAAAACCACTTTATATAAAAGACATATAATAGTTGAATAGAGTTATTATACAATTCTTGATAATATTATAACAAGAAGATTTGTAATACTTTTTCTTAATTAAAATTTCTATTAAAGATTAAAGTAATATTGACTTAATCATATTGATCAAGTTTAGAAGATATAGATTTACATATTACTCATTGATAAGATAGAGTTGATGATTAAGGGATAGCAGTTTAATTTATAAAAGATGAGATGATTTTTAATAGATTTTGAGTTAAAGAGCTGATGTAATAATGAACTTTATTAATAAATATCTATTTTAAATAATAAAGTCTAAATGGGACCGTATCTAAGCCAACCAAAAACAGAAAAGTCTACAGTTACAGGCTAAAATTAAGTACTTTAATATGCTGCCACTCATATGCAAGGTATTATAGATTTAATAAATTAGGATGGAGAAATACAATGGAGGATGCTCACATTTCTGATATAAACATAGAGCAAGATGTTCATTTATTTGCTGTTTTCGATGGCCATGGAGGAAGTGAAGTAGCTATATTTGCAGAAAAACATTTCAAAGAAGAATTGATGAAGAATAAAAACTATCTATCAAAAAATTATGAAAAAGCTTTGACAGAGACATTTTTCAAAATTGATAAAATGTTATAAGAGCCAGCTGGTTAAGATGAGTTAAATAAAATAAGAGGAGTAACTGATGAAGGTAATCTATATCCAGATTTTAGCATCTTTGGCTGGATGTACTGCTAATGTTGCTTTGATTGTTGGCAAGAATTTATATGTTGCTAATGCTGGAGATTCAAGATCATTTTTAAATAGAGATGGAAAACCATATGATATGAGTAAAGATCATAAACCAGATGATGATGCAGAGAAAAAGAGAATAGAGAGAGCTGGAGGTTTTGTATCAGATGGTCGTGTCAATGGTTTAATTATATAATATTATATAAGGAAATCTTTCATTATCAAGAGCTTTGGGAGATTTGGAATACAAAAAAGATGCCAAATTTAGACCTGAAGAATAGATCATAACTGCATTACCTGATATTAAAGTAACATAATTGACTCCTGCTGATAAGTAAATCAAATATATTTTATATTTGATTAGGTTCTTATTGATGGGATGTGATGGTGTATTTGAAACATGGGATCATTAATAAATACTTAACTTTATCAATTCTGAGTTGAAATCTCATTAAAATCTGTAGAAAGCTGCTGAAAAATTGCTTGATTAATTGTTGGCAAAAGATACATCATGTAAATATTTACATATATAATCTAGTGGGTACTGGATGTGATAATATGACTTGCATTTTGGTTCAGTTTAAATGATGAATCAATTGAGTATCAAAAACATATAAAATATAAATATAATTTATAATTATTATAAGTTCAATTATTATTATTCAAACAAAAAATTTGTTTATTTTTATCTATTATACATTTAACTCATAAACTCTCTAATTATTTTTGGTTATCTTATTTTATATGGATCATATGTAGATCTCTTTATACAGTTATTAAAGTATAATTATAAAAAATAAGTAGTTTAATTAAATGATAACTACATATAGCTGAAATATTTGAAAGAAATAAATAGTTATCCATATTTCAAGAATAAATTGAAAGTGCATTTGACCTAATATCCAAATATCTTACAAAAAATTAATTAAAAAATCTTATACATTTATTAAATAAGAGCAAAAGTAATTGATTATTGTATTCTATAAGAAGATTCATATTATATAATATATTTAGATTATGGATTCTAAATGTATATTTCAGTATATAAGATATTTATTTAGGAACTTTATAATTGATTATTGCATCTGTATGGGTTTAAATTTATTCTAAAATATTTGATTTTGTATTTTTAGTATTATCAAATTAAGAATTGAAATTTTAATCAAATTCTTAAACCAAGAATTCAATAAATATAATGCTTTGGTATTTTTATTTAAGGGTAATCTTTTATTTATTAAAAAATATAATGTATTGTCATGTAGAGACATTAAAATTATCGTAATATTAAAATGTACTATGAGTATGACAAATCAATCTAGAGCTTCAGCTATGTTAAATTTCGTAGATAACAGCAGAACGCTGATCCACAAACTCCATGAACTATTTAAGCACATGAATGAGAGTGAAGCTCTAATCATTTATATTTGCAATGAAATAAATTTTCCTTAATTATCCGATTAAATAATTATGGTTTCATACCTGAATGAGTTTTCTACATATTGCAGAACTATAGGACTCTTAGCACTCTAAGAATCATTTAAATAGTAGAAAAGTACTTTGGAAGAAACACTGCTCATGCATTTGATAACTCTAAAGAGGGAATAATTGATTGAATTATCTACTCGTATTGTAAGGATATGGAGCATCAATAATAGAGATCAAAAATAAGGATCTTTATAGGAAAACCAATAAAGAAAAATGTCAGTTAGTGAAATGTATACAAAGTCTAGTTCTTAATTAAATCATCTATATGAATAACATATATTAAATGAGGAGAATCAAATAGTCAAAAGAGATTAATAAATTAATCATCTTATGAAGGAATGCACATTTAAACCATAAATATCAAAGAAGAGCTAAAAATTAGAATTAAATTCACCAGCTCATATTAGATTGAATAATTATGCAATGGACTCTAAAATAAAATTATAAATAGTTTAAGAACTTAATTAGAAATAAGAATTAAAAGATTGTACTTTCAAACCTTCAATTAATATAAAATCAATTGGTAATAATTAATCAGTTGAAAATCCATTTGATAGACTATATTAAAATGCATTAACTTAAAGAAATAAAACACCTAGAAACAACGAAGATTCATAATTTACTTATCGTCCTTAATTAATTAGTTCTCCTATAAAATTATAATAATTTGAAGGTATTTCAGTAGAAGAAAGACTTTATAATCATCATTTTGAGAAAATGAATAATGTAGCTATGAAATAAGAGGAACTTTAATAAATTGAATTAGAATAATGTACATTTACTCCTGTTATTAATTAAAATGGTAATAGTAGATAAAATGAAAAAGTCTATGAAAGATTATATAATCATAGTAGTGTAAAATCAGTTTCAGATGTAAAAGATCATTCAATATCACATATTAATAAGAAATCAGAATCTTTAATTAAGAAACCATAATCAGAAAATAATTCATATGTGACTTAATTTTAAATAGAATCCAATCCATTTGATCGATTATATTAAGAACATTAAAGATAAGAGAAAAAGAAGAAATCAAATTAAATATAATATTACTAATCTATACCTTTTAAACCAATACTAAATAAAAAATTATCATTATAATGAATATAAAAATATATATAATAATAGAATTTCATTTTTAATATTTACAAATAAATATAGAAATGTAAATAATTTACATAATATATAACAAAAAACAGTATAATAATTATGAATTAATTAATTAAATTGTTTTTATAGATTCAATATAATAATATTATTAGATAATTCCTATTAAATATTAATTGATTTTATGGAGAAATAGAAATATTAAGAGTATTTATCATATTGTATTAAAATATGTTTGATAGTCTAAAGAATATATAGAACTATTGAGATAATTAGAAATAATCTATTAATTTAATAAGTATAGATTAAGATTCATTTAACTTTTATTAATTAATAATGTTGTGATAATATAAATTTTATGGAATTAATAAATGAATAGTTATTTATTAATTAAATCAGTATATAAGATTGAATGAACGTGATTTATAATATAGTTAAATTAGAATATTTTCTAATGTAATTGATAATGAGTGGATTTCAATTAAGTTAATTTATTAAAAAGTATAATGAATCCTTATTTATGAGTATGCTACTATGTAAAATTATTAATTCATAAATCAAAGAGTTGTAATTCTTATAAATATTTTAAGATAGTATTAGTGTGTAACTCTTATTCCCAAAGATTATTTAGAATGATATATTATATTCAGTTGATTAAAAATAATTTTAATATTCTTTATGTCTTCTTTGTTTAATGAAGTACCACTCTAGAAAGTTATTGCTAATAAGGCATAAGTAACAGTAACTATATTAGATAGAAAATAGCCATTCTTGTTATGATGTTAAAAGATATACAAAAAGAAGAAGAAGAGATTTTGAAATAATTTAACAAAATGACTAAAGATGCTCGAACAATTAATGAATTATATGAGATTATGGAAATGATTAATTATGAGATGAGTGTGAGGAATGATGACAAAATGATGATCTTAAATGAAATCACATTACAAGAAGAGTTATTGTAAATGCTTGAATATATTAAAGATTGACAGAGTAGGCAAGTCTATAGAA